ACTCAGTGACCAGTCTTGGGAATTTATAATCTTGTGATGGGAATACTATGACAGGGAAAAAGAATGATCAGTTGACAGAATTAACCTGTAGTCCCCACATATGTGGCACAAATAACCGTGTACCCTAATTCTAGGACCATTTCCTTGGAATCCTACAGAATTTAGAGAAATAGTTGGAAAGACAGAGGAGGCATGGGGCAGTCAGATAGGAAAGGGGCTTGACAAGACTTAATCCTGAAAACACTGGGCAGTACTCGGGCCAGTCTGAATCGTCATCTCCTTAGCTTAGAGTATAATGGGCACGTGCAAACTACTTCTCAGATGGGTGAACAAGTAACTGGGACTTGTGAAGATAATGACCAGATCGGCTGTTCTGCCATCATAGAGAGCCCCAGGGCAGCAGACTAGGAAGCAGTGATGCCTGTGGCCTTGCTAAGCATTCTCTGCATCACTTCCCTGGTGTGACTTCACTGGAGTGCCAGCATCCATCAGCAGTCACACCACAGGCCCTGCTGTGGATGCTAATGCCACAGAGAGCCGATTCTTAGCCAAATTCAGGGTTCATTGGCACGTTGTTCATTCTGATAATCAAGGGACTCATGACTCCATGGTCCAGCCGTCTTGTTTATGTGCTCTGGCCCCTAAGCACCCAATGGCCCTTTGAGGTGGAAAAAGTATTCTGATATGTGTAGATCAGAATAGTATTGTAATGAGAACAGTCTCATATTTTGGTTCTGTTCAATTTCCCTTCTCTTTTGAGACCTGAAATAATTTCAGATTATTAAACTTTGTGCAGGGAGCGGAGGTCGGGGCCCGTTAGCTTTGAGTTTTGATGCTTTCTTGGCACTGACCATTAGTCCACTGAGCACCTTGGTGGCTTAGGGCAAATGTAGTTTGCTGAAAGTTGGGGGGGGGGAGTAAAGTGTCTCCGTGGAGGCTGTGATGATTATAATGTCATTCTATAAGTGTCTCTGGGGGGAGGTACTCTTGGGCATGCTAGACAGCAGGCCTGCTTCCTCACAAAGTCACAAAACCTGGGTTTCTGGCAGGCTGATCCATATCATCCTTGCTGCCTGAAGAGATGAGAGAATGCATTTGCAAAACAGACTGGCAAAGCGCCATGGGTAAGGACATTCTGGTGTCTTCTCACCATAGCAGGACTTTGTCCTTGGGTATAAATGACAAGGACTAGCTGGGGGCTCTTTTCTGGAGAAGGGGCTGCTTCTCAATGTGTGTGCCTGCTTTTTTATTGATGAATATTCCACCAAGAGTAACTTCTACCCACGCCCACAGTGAGGTCTTCCCAGGATGTGTCCATGTTCTTTTCATCTTGCCCATTGGAGAGGCTCCTTTGCTCCCTTCAGAGTGAGTTCTCCTTGGGGGAAATACCGTCCACCGTCTATTCGCTCAGTGTACATCTCTGGTACTTATTCTCCTCAGTGTCTGCCTTCCTAATGGGCATCATTGTTCCCTTATCTCCTCACCTCTCTGCCCACCAGAACGAACCTCCAGGAGCCTCTGTGTGTGTTTTATGCATGTCCTGCCCTAAAGTCTGCAGCAAGCCTGATACCTCCTCAGTGTGGAATATTTTCAGAATCACTGCATGATAGGGTCACATGGCTTTTCCTCCTCTAAATGCCCAGAGAAGGTTTAAGAATAATCTATCAGAATGAAATAGTCAGTGGTCCCTTCCATGGGGAATCACAAAAAGATGAATTAGGAAAAATTGTCTCTAGGCAGAAAATGTCCCTCAGTCCCATCACTGTTTGTCATCCAAAGAGCTATCACAGGTGGGGGTGTTATCAGAACTATAAATCAAGTGGCTCGGGGTTAGAGCATTTGCCTGGCATGCCCGGTTACCATCCAGTACCAAAGAAAAGAAAAAATGACTTGAGGAAGGACTGTGGGCACTGAAGAAGGCCCAGAAGACCCCAGGTTGGGGGAGGAGGAGCTGAGGGCTATGGCCAGATATCCCTGGGAGTTTTAACAAGCAAGACTTTAAAGGTCAGCATGCCTAGGCTTTGGGGTAAAGGCTAGCTCTGTGATGTGTGTGAGTGACCCTCAGGGTCAGCAACTTTATTAAAACCTTACCTGGTATCTCAGGAGGACAGCGATGTTTTGTGGTTCCGACAGTGGCACCCTAAGGAATTGATGCCTGCAAGTCAGAGGACAGCCTTGAGTATTGGTCCTCACCTGCCACCTTGTTTGAAACAGGATCACTTGGCTTTCTACTGAGTACTGTGTCAGGCTACCTGGCCCACAGGCTCCTGGGGCTTCTCTTGTCTCTGCCTCCCTTCTTTTCATGGGAATAGTGGGACTATAGACACACACTACCTCCTAACACAACTCTGGGGATCTGACCTGAGGTCCTCACACTTTCATTGTGAGCACTTTACCCACTGAACCCCCCCCCCCCAGGACTCTGTCTGCTCTTCATCACCAAACCTTCCCCTCAACTTATCCTGGAGTCTTTTCTAATTAACTTGGGCACTTTCCAAAGACTGGTCTCTTCTGGAGGGAGCTTGTCACAGCATGTCACCCCAGCACATAGCTGCCTGTGTCTGAGCATGAGCTTCAGGCCCCCAGGATCCTCACAGAGGGGTGCTCTCAAACGGAAGAGAAGGCCTGCACCAGTCCTTGGCCAAGCCGGCTTCTCTGCAGAGGAGAGCTGCCCTCAGTGCCTGTGTGATGTCTCTTCCACACCCAGCCTTTCTAAATTGAAAATGTAACACTCCATCGTTCACTGGAGCCTTTCTGCATTATTTTGATACCAGCCATAATCTATCTGCCAAGGGAACTTTGTTACAGCCCTGCTCATCAGTCTCAACTTACCTTTCCATCTGGCAAGACTCGACTTCATTTGTTTATTTGTGGTTTGAATTAGACTCCAGTTAACCTGAGAGTGACGGCGGGCGGAGGGGCAGAGGAGAGGTGTCATCAGCTTGGCTGTGTGAACCCTCAGGACCCAGAAATATTGCCAAACTAAGTCTTGATGTGGCAGCTACTCTGCCATATTTAGGGAGATGTAGCTGCTTGTGTTGGCCTGGCCAGTTGATTGAGATCCAATAAGAATGTCATCCTGTAACTGTCTCCATGGGGAGGTACGCCTGGGCGTGCTGGACAGTAGGTTGGCTTCCTCCCTAAGTCATAAAACCTTCAGGATTTCTGGCAGGCCTGTCCTTGCCTTCAATTCCTCGAGAGATCAGAAAATGCATATATGAGAGAATGGGATGCTCTGTGTTGGGCAACTCTATTAGTCTGTTTTCTGTTGCTATCACAAAATGTTTGGTGGTACGTAATATATGAGGAAAAGAGGATTCTTCAGCTATAGTTTAGAGCTTGCTCAGAGGCGTAGTACCAACATCTGTGCCACCCTATGGGGGCCTCGTGGCAAAAGACATCACAGTTTCCAAAGGCATGCAAGAGGAAGCAATCCCGTGGCAAGACAGGAAGCAAGAATGATTCCAAAGCCAAGCTTGTTCTTTGGATGTCTCATTCTAATGGGAACTAGTCAGGGTCTCTCAGGAGATACATCCCTCTGATAGTGGTACCCCACCTTCCAGGAGGCCCACGTGTACAAGGCTCCTCACCACCCAGCAACAGCTCACTGGAGCCACTCTTCCAGTATATGGCCCCCTGGGGGGGCCACTAAACCATACCCATAACACTGGCTGCTGAAGGAAAAAGTCCTCAGTTCTCTGCAGCTCACAGAAGTGTGTTTCCAACCCAGAGGACACTCAGGGACTCAAAATGTTCTCTTCCTGGGAGTCAGGACCGGGTACTACCTGTGGCTCTTCCTGATCATTTGAGAGAAAGGGAAAGGAAGTCTTCAGGGAGGGATAGCAGTTCAACACCACAGACCCAATATCACTCCTGCTCACAGCCCATTGCCAAGAATTAGTCACAAGGTCCATTCAGGTGCCTAGTGCCTGGACAGCACCTCTAGATCCCAGAAAGGGACCAGCACTCTGTGACTGACCACACCACATCCTTTGTAACCCTGGAATTTATAGGCAAGGCAATATTGTCTTGGGTTTCTTGACCACCTCCATTTGCTTAGTGCAGTGCCAGGGAAAGACCATGGCTTGCTCTTTGTAGGTGTGAATGCCAATATCAACCTGCTCTACAGTAGGACAGACCATGTATCCCCTGGACCCAGAGATCCAATAAGCACCATCACAATTGCACATACCAATAAAGACATTAATATATTGTTACAAGTTCTGGGCCCTAAGACTTCATTTCCTATAGCATCACCTCTGTGGTGGTTTGAATGAGAATGGCCTCCATAGGCTCATTAAGTTTCCATGCTTGGTCCCCAATTGCTGGAACCATTTGGGAAGGATTAGAAGGTGTGGCCTTATTGGAAGAAGGGTGTCACTGGGGGTGGGCTTTGAGGTTTCAAAACACGCTTGCCATTCTCAGTCTGTCTCTGTTTTTCTATCTCGTGTCTGTTTCTGTTTCCCTGTCTCTGTCTCTCTCTCAGTGTCTCTGTCTCTCTCTTTCTGTCTCTCCCTCCCTCCTCCCTCCCTCTTGTGGGTCCTCCTGCTTGTGGGTCCAGATGTGAGCTCTCAGCGATGCTTGCCGTCACACCTTTGCTCCACCGTCATGGACTCTACCCCTCTGCAGCCATAAGCCCAATTAAATGATTTCTGTTATAGGTTGCGTTGGTCATGGTGTTTTGTCCCAGCAATGGAACAATAACTAATACAGCCTCGCTGAAGAACTATTGATAGCACTGTGATGTGACTCTGTCTAAAGCTATTGCTGTGACACTGTCAAAACAGCACTTCCTTTTGACAAAGCCCTTCCCTCACCGCGTGGGAACCAATGCCAGGACTATCTGATGGTGCCTCATTTGACTGTGTCTAAGCAAACTCTGCTCGCTGAAATACCCGTGAGCAGCTGTACATCACTGCCGGAAGGCATCCTGGGCCATAGCACCTGAAGACAGAGAAGGCCACTGGGACCTGTGACTCACTGGGGCCTTTCCTTCTCAGGTTCCCATTCCCCATGGTGTTCAGCAGCTGCAGCAGGAAGGACCTGGAGGCTAGCCTGGAGAAGGGAATGGGGATGTGCCTCTTCAACCTACCAGAGGTCAAACAGGCCTTTGGAGGCCGGAAGTGTGGAAATGGCTATGTGGAAGAGGGAGAACAGTGTGACTGCGGGGAACCAGAGGTAAGGGGACATTCTCCGTGGTATCTGCTGTCGCCTCTGACTGAGAGGAGGGGGAGCTTGGGCAAGCTCAGGCAGCAAAATGAACATGCTAAAAACTGGTGATCGGCTAGAGACATGGCTCACTTGATAAAGAGCTTGCCATGCAACCCGGAGAACCTGAGTTCCTAAAAACCTACATGGAAAAGCTGGATATGATGGTATGTGCCTACAATCCCAGCACTGGAGAGGCAGAGAGATGCAGATCCTGGAAACATACTAGCCAGTCACCCTTATCTAACTGGTGAGCCCTAGAAGTCCCAGTGAGAGCCCTTATCCCAAAAAAAAAACAAAAGTGGACAGAACCTGAGGAATGATACTTGATGTTGACCTCTGACCTACACATACACAGGGGAGGAGGGGGAGATAATGAGTTGGTAGTGAGGATGCTGGTGTAATAGAGAGTCTCTGGAAAAGTCCCATATGGCTACCTTGCACAAGCTCCCCACAGTGGGTGGCTTCCTGGAGTGTTAGCCAAATACAGGGTTGGCTGTGTCACTAGGTTTTAACAGGGGAGTGCCTTCTCCTCTATTGAAGGGTGCCCCATTCTTGGGGTGATGAGGATGAGAACAATAAAAAGCATTTAGCTCAGAGTTTCTTGGAAAGCAAAGCCCCAGGAGTCTAACTTCTAAGGGCTCCTAAGTTCCCATGCATTTCTCTTTGTAAAGCCTGCTGTGGAAGGGGAGTATGGATAAGCAGGCTGAGCAGAGCGCTTTCTGTCTAGCTGAGATTGTTCTGCAGCCTCCCCTGTGTGCACAGCTGAGGCTCCAGAGGATCCAGCCATTCAGCTTGTTAGTTTTCAGAAGCAACAAGAAAAAGCAGCTAGCGTTTGCATCCAGCACCACGCTTATTGAACTCTGCTTTCCAGCCGATCTCTGGAAGTTTCTTGTTTATATAGGCCCAAGATGAAGCTGATCAACATAAAACATGTAAGTCACTTTTCACTCTCAAAACAGTCTTGAGAAAGAACCACAAAGAGAATGCTGCCACGTCCCAGCCTAACACGTGCCCCCCCACACAAATTAGAGGAGATTGTATTCAGAGTAAATCAAAGCCAAGTGTTTTAGAGCAGGTAGGCTGGGGCTCCTTCCGTGAGAACACATGCAAGCCAGAATGGAAATCAGGTCTAAGACAGGCTTAGCCTGGTCCATAGGTGGGCTTAACAAGTTCTCAAGAAGCCAGCATCTCAGAGGGCTCCTTCGGAAGGAGGTACCCAGAAAACAAGGAAAACTGGGGCAGGAAGCCAAAGCAGCCCATATATTCCTGTGCTCATCACAGGAATGACAGAATCTATATCCCAGCCTGTCTCCAAGTCCCTGAGGAGGCTCAGTGCCAACAGGAATGCTCTTGCTCTCTCAGGTTCTGAGAGAGAAAGCAGAGCACTGGAGGGGTAGGGGGAATCAGATGGAGTGAGGAGAGAAAGAAGTAGTTTTTGTGTCCTTGACAAACTCAGAACTTATCCGTGATAATGGCCTTGTCCACAGCAGTGGTTAATTTTGCTCACAGTGAGCAGGGAGTAGTTGCTGGCTAGGAACAAGTCCTAATTATAGTGTTACAGAATGGCTTCAGGATTAGCAGAGGGAAAAGTGAAGCCATCATGGGAGAGTGTGTACAAAGGAGAAAAGTCCCTTGGAGGCCTTGCTAATTGCTTAAAGAAACAACCCAATTAGTTTAAATTACCCACATTTCTCAGGAGAGGCCATGTTGACTTAAGATGGTTTTCTTTGATCTGAATGCCTTATAATTATTTATTAATGCAAATAAATCTAATAGTCCTTCATGGAATCATGAATGCTGAGATTTGGAATGACTCCATTGGCAGTCATTCACCCCCTCTGCCTCCATGACCATCTACCACTGTCACTGTGCCCACAGCATAGTCATCACTGCCACATCCATCACCATCATCATCCTCTCCACACTATCATCCTCATACTGCCATCCCCACCATGAATTGCCATCTCCACAACGGCCATCACTACCTCTAACATGCCTGCATCACCACCCCACTCACTGCTGCTGGAACACCAGTGCCCCTACCACCGCCGTCACTGTTGCTGTCACTCCATCCTGACCATCAGCATCCTCAGCATCAGCCCTGCATCAGCATCATCGCCATTACCACTAGCCCTGCCGTCACCACCAGCACCCACATAGAAGCAGCCCCCCTGAGTTCCTATTGCTATCTACTTATGTCCTGTTCCTCCATCTTCACACATGAGTCCTACAGCCATGGAGAGGTGCTTGATCTCTCTCCAGGGACTCCACTACACTGTGGGGCAGTGTTAATGGTGACAAATTCCTCCTTACACAGAGTCAAATTCTGTTTGCATGTAGTTCCCATCTTGGTATTTCTGTGGTTAGGGTCCTCTTCTTTTCATAAAGAGGTTTCTTGATATTTTAAGAAAAACTCCCTTGTCCTCATCCAAAGCTCTTCCTCCCAAGGAATCTGTTAACATCACAGTGACCCTTTTGCCTTGCTTGCCAGTGTCATTTTAATGTATTTTTTATGTTTTCAGTGGAGGTTCAGATGTCAGTTGTGCCTGGCCATGGGTTCTAGCTTCATTCTCTTGCTGTGCTAAAACACTCTGACCAAAAGTAACTTAGGGGAGAAAAGAATTTCCTTGAGTTACATTTCCAGGTCACAGTCCATCATTGGAGGAAGTCAGGATAGGAACTCAGGCAAGAACTTGAAGCAGAAGCCATGGAGGAGCACAAGGAGCACTCCTTGTGGGCTCACTCTTAAGCTCAGGCTTATACAGCCTCCTTTTTCAGCCCAGAACCACCTGCCCAGGGATTGGCACTATCCACAGTGAGCTGGGCCATCCTAATTCATTTAACAGTCAAGACAACCCCCACCCCCCAGACATGCCCAATCTGTTCTGGGAATCCCCTTGTTGAAACTCCCTTCTCAGATGACTCTAGGCTGTGTCAACCTTACAAGGACACCAAACTTCTTTGCCCAAGACTTTCATTCAAACCTATTACCTGGGATCTTTTTTCTGGTCGCGCATGCCCAGGTCCTGAAGAAACTCCTCCTGATGTTAATCACACCAAACCATGCATCCCCTGGTCCAAATGGGACTCAGTATGTCACACCAGGGAAGCAGGGAACAACAGGTCAGTGTGATATACACCAGCACACAGCTGGAACAAGCTTGTGATCCCTCACTGTAGCTTTACCCCAGCTCAAGGTACTAAAAATCAACATCTGCTCCCCACAGCCTGAGAAAGACTGGTCCTTACACAGGTTCTTTAATGGCTTCATTCTTCTTTCTTATTTGGAGACCTGACGTTCATTGGCTCTGTTGCTTCTCTGCTGACTCCTAAAATAGTAAATGCATCAATAGACAAGGAATCTATCTCTTCTGTGAAATATGGTAATCAGAAATGGATTTGGGGTAATTAGGAGTTTGTCTCCTGTGAAATACGGTAGTAGAGAAAAAGGTTTGAGGTAGTTAAAAAAAAAAATGTTTTTACCTTCTGGTAGAAGGCATTAAGGATTCCCTGATAACCCACTCACCCTTCCAACTAACAAGGCTGGGAACGCTGCCCCACCTCATTTAAAGTCAAGAGGATACCAATCCCTCGTACATCTTTTAAACTTCATCATCTTTCTCTTGTGATTGATCCCCTTTGAAGTCATTCCACTTGGCTACGCTCCCTTTGGGGTTGCTGTTTACATTTCTAGTGATTTGAGGGGAGGCAGGAGGAGTCCTTGCAAGTGTTTTAGACCCAGATATCAGATGGCTGCAAGGACGTCTCTGACTCAGCTAATAGAACATTAGGGAAGTCATTGAGACCACAGCAAGCAGAACAGCACTGCTGCACATTCAGTGGCACTGGTCCAGGATGCAATTAATGGGATCCTTAAGGAGGAAAAAGTTTCTAGATTTGTATAGAGTTGTAAGCCCATAAGCTAAAAACCCTCACTGTCATGAAAGCTGCCGCAGTGACTTCTGGTTGGCAGTTTTATCTTACTGTATATATTACATGTCCCGGATGTTTATAAAGTCCTCAAACAGATTTAAAATTTAACAACTTTGGAAGTATGCATGGTAGGAGCAAACGTAAACACTGCATGAGAGATCAGTTCATGGAGCTCCAAGAGTGGACGCTGAACAGGTATTTAGGGATGTCCTAAATCTCCCCAGTCACTGGCAGATTTATTAATTGCCTATAAGCCTGATTAAAAAATTCATTCACAAGAGATAGTTTTCAGGAGTAACCTATTATACTATTAGATATGGATGCGATTAGCTTCATGCCGGCTGGCCAAGTGTAAGCTCTTCAGAATACGTCAAAAATAAAGGAATGCTGAGGACTTTGGCAGCATTAAGCATTCTGTGACATTTTCCTATAAATTGCACAAATTTCCAAACTACCAGGAGGTTCCAAAGCTCATGGGCTTCAGAGATTTGCTACATAGATGGGTGCAGGCCTTCTTCTACAGTAGGCGAAGGGTGCTGACCCTGTCTCTCTTTGTCAGAAAGCCATGTGCTCACATGGTGCGCTGTCTACTGAAGGAGTTGAATTTCTTTTTCACTTTTGTTTCAGACAAGATGATACAGCTCCATTTTTATGTATTTAGATCCTTTGAGAATGAGCATGCTCAGGCCAGGTACGGCAGCATGAGCCTATAATCCCCACACTAGGGAGGATCACCTACCAAGGGTTGGGGGCCAGCCTGTCTACAAAGGAAGTGCCATGCCAGCCAGGCCCACATAGAGACTGTATCTCCCAAAACAAGACAGAAGGCTGAGGATATAGCCCAGTTGGTAGAGTGCATCCATGAGTCCTTGGGTTTTATAAATAGTATAAGAGAAAGGGGAGGAGGAAAGGAGAGAGAAAAGGGGAAGGAAGGGAGGGAGGGAAAAAGAGAGGGGCCAAAAAGGAAAGGGAGGGAGGAAGGAAGGGAGGGAGGGAGGGAGGGAGGGAGGGAGGGAGGGAGAAAGGAAAGAGGAAAAGGTAATAAAATGAGAACTTTCAGCCCCGTTCTGATGTCCTCTTCCTAGAATGCCCTAGGCCAAGGAACTTACCTTTGCTAAACATGGGTTTCTTCCTCACCCACCTGGCTACCCCACAGGGAACTGGCCTGAATTTTTTCCTTTCAGTGCATCTGTATACTTCAAATCAAAAGTAGACCCCCCGCTCCCGTTTTTTTAGTACACCAAACAAGTGCTGTACCACTGAACTGTACTCCAGTCTATCAGAAGAGTTCATTCTTGAAGAGTAAAGGTCACATCCATACATGGTGTTGTGTTTTGTTTGTTTTGTCTTGTTTTGTTTTGTGTTTTGAGACAGCATTTCTCCGTGTAGCCCTGGCTGTCCTGGAACTTACTCTGTAGACCAGGCTAGCCTCAAACTCACAGAGATCCACTTGCCTTTGCCTCCCAAATGCTGGGATTAAAGGCCTGTGCCACCACTGCCTAGCCCATGCATATATTTTTAAATGAGCAACTTCCAAGTCCTTCAGTGATTCCAACACAGCTCGGTACAACATGCCCTGCAGGAAGAATTCCCTGGAAGCACCATTGTGCTGCCGACCTGAAGAGCTCCCGGCTCCCCCTGGCCCTCCTCCCACAAAGGGCACTTGAGTGCTCCTGACTTCTCTTAGCAACACTAGACTCCGTGGTTCACAAACACTTAACAGACACTTCGCTCTTGTGCCAAGGAAAGCGGTTCTGGGGCAGGTTTTCAGCTCGGAATCTGGGCTACCTTATCCTTGGCTGTCATTTCGGGTGTGACATTTACATTCTGAGAGTCACCACTCCATACGACCCTACAAATGGATCCCGTTCCCCTCCTCAGGAATGTACCAACCGCTGCTGCAACGCCACCACCTGCACTCTGAAGCCAGACGCCGTGTGTGCACACGGACAGTGCTGCGAAGACTGCCAGGTGAGTCCAGCCTGGCCTGCCGTGGCCGACTGGTTCCGGTGGCTCCAGTCTGATACAAGTGGAGCAGTATGGTGGGCCGAGTCCCCCAAGCTCATACCGGGAAGCTGCCCTTTTCACCATTCGGTACCATCTAGTTGTTCTTAGATTTCTGATCCGGTAGAATGCACATTTGAATTGCTAATTCTTGTGATCAGTGGTCGGTGGGCTACAAACTAATAGGACTGAGAAACCTAAGCTCAACCTTAATATTCCACGTATGCTTGTGGGGAGGTCCTAACTCCATGAGAAGAACAATGTGAGGAGAAGCCACCCTACCCCTGTCACTCAGCCTCATGCCAGGTCCACCTGCCCGATACCAATGTCTGGTGGGTAGCAGAGAACCCAGGCTGGTGGTTCCTGGAATGCCTGTACCAACAGAAAGTGCAGGCCACCCTGAGCTGCCAGAGGGACCGTTGCCTGGCCTGCTATCTATTCTGCACTGGCATTTCCACCCTTCATCCTGTTTATTCAGAATGCATGTCTAACAGGGGGGAAGCCTGAGCATTAGTGGCTCCCAGGATAGACTTTTATGCCTTGATACTTAAGCAGTTGATCTTGGCACGAAGATCGCAGGAAACCCTGTTATCCACCCCACCCAAGCACATCATTTAGAAGTATGTTATAATGGTGTGGGTGTGGGTGTGTGTCCCCTCCTGATATTCATTAAGTTCTGGAGAATGCTGTAAGAAGTACCTGGTACCCAAGTACCGAGTTTCTAGTGCTGGAGGGTGCCGGGAAGGGGATGAGAGAAGATGAGCCACACAGAGAAAGGCTCAAGATGGTCACAAGGAGGGAAGGATATGTGGGGATACCCAACTGTCATCCACGTTGGATCCCTTCCAAACTTCAGACCTTCTAGGAGTTGGTAGGTGACTTACCTTGTTGCCTTTGGGAGTATGCAGGCCAACCAAGCCCCGGACTTAGTGGCCTTGACCATGGAACTCAGACAAGCTCCCCTGGACCTTAATTTCTTCAGCCCGAAAGATGAGCTGCCGCTCAGAGCCCTAACACCTCTCATTGCTAGCTGTTACCGCTGCTGCTTCCGCTGCCACCTCCCGGTCCTTCTCCTCGTCCTCCCCTACCCTTCCTGCCACCACCAACCTCCAGTTTTTCTCCCATAGAGTGACAAGGAGGGCCCTGGGTCTCTAGTGGATAGCAGCATAGCACTACTATGAGAGTCCGAGCTTGCTGATTTGGCTACCTTGCCTGAAGATGCCTAAGGATAAGGACAAGGCATGTGATGGTGTCAGCAACCTGAGCAAAGTCCACCTCTTCAACAAGGGCATCCACAAGAGCCAGCTAGCTTGTCTACTCCTTGGAGAACATAGTGTTCCCTGCAGTTCCCATCTGAGCTATCTGTGGCTGCCCACCCAAATGTGAACCGTACAAAACCACTTCAGGAGAGGGCTCTGCCACCAAAGGGGATGGGGTTGAAATCCCCACCTGTTTACCCGTTGTAGGTGGCCTGTTGTGTTCTGCCCCAGGAGAGCTTCTGAGAGCTGTTTCCTCCTGCTTGGTACGTGTGTCATAAGCTACCTTGTCATTTCAGCTGAAGCCTCCAGGAACTGCATGCAGGGCCTCCAGCAACTCCTGTGACCTCCCAGAATTCTGCACAGGGACTGCCCCTCACTGCCCAGCCAATGTGTACCTGCATGACGGGCACCCCTGTCAGGGAGTGGATGGTTACTGCTACAACGGCATCTGTCAGACCCATGAGCAGCAGTGTGTCACACTCTGGGGACCAGGTACGTGGCCTCTCTTAGTTCTGTGAGGGATACTGGAGACATGTGCTCTATGTGCTCGAGTCTGTCCTTGCTCCTGGGGAGATTCCTCCATGCATGCCCATTCTGCTCTGCGATGAAACTCACACTCTGAGACGGGAAGTCTGCTTCTGCAGGAGGCATGGCTGGGATTTAAGCCTGGTCACTGTGACCCAGCATCTGGGTGTAACTCCCACAGTGCACAGTCACCCCCACGAGCAGATGAGGCCTTGATCTAAAGTCCCATTAAAGTTCCAAAAAGCAGAATAAAGCTCAAGGCTCTGTGTATAGATCTCTTCCAGGACTCTACTCTGAAGTCAGATCCAGGTCTCATAGGACAGCCTACTACTTAAGAGCCTGACTACCCCAGGCCTCCCTACCAGGGGGTCTCACTACCCAGGGCCCTCGCTGCCCTAGGGCTTTACCACCCTAGGCCTTACTACTAGGAGATCTTGCCACTCTGGGGAGGGCCTTTTACCTAGAAACCATTCTGGATCTACTCCATTTACAGCTCCCGGGATCCTGGCTAGGAATCCCATTGGGGATGTTTTCTGAGTGTGTTGCAGTTTTCTTTCCATTGTTCTTGGCTGAGTCCTTACTTAAGGCTACGAGATGACCTCAGACCTGGCCAGAGGCCCCAGTGCCACCAAGGCCGCTATGGTCAGCCAGACTCAGACCTCAAGCTGAGCCAGCTCTGGGGGAAACCAGAGACTTTCCTCAAGATTCTGGTTTCCAGAGGGATAAGGGGAGTCAACCAGGGCAGAAAATGATGACCAAACACAGAAGCCTGGTTTTAACTGTTATGTGGGTGCAACGCCCAAGCCTGAACTACCCAGCAAAGACGCCCCTCACTTGAAGCTTTCTGGGGAAGAAGAAAGTGTGGGCTGGCAGCTCCCATAAGTGGATGTACCCTAGACAGGTAGAATAAAGAGTCCGGAAACTCCTGGCCCTTCACACTTCCTCTTTAGAGTCTCTCAGTGCTGGTCCTCTCACCTGATACCCGTGAGATCCTCAAGACAAAGGTAGGGATACCACCATTACAGAGACATGCACTAGGAAGACACTCATTATGCACATGTCAAATGGCAAGTAGGACTCTGCATGGATTAGAGAGTTCAGACACCTTTTAGCCACGCAGGGTCACTTTAGGACAGGGGCTAGTGCAGCAGGCCCCAGACATCTCTAGTGGCCCTTCCACTCTCCCAGCCCTTCTGCAGGCAGGAAGCTGCCATCTAGAGTTACAGTGGCTGTTCTGCTGCTCCCTTTATGGGAGCTGTCCTTGGCCAGCACACCCAGCCCTTGGAGCTCTTTAGTGCCCAGCTGTGCTATGAGACCTGGCCCCAGCTCCAGAATGAGCTCAGATGGAATAGCACAGTATTCCCCCAAGCCATTGTGCTGTGTAACTCCGCGGGCTGTCATGGTGACCAAAGCAGGTATTTATCAGTGGGGAAATAAAAAAGGAGGGGGAGACAGACAGACAGACCGATGTTGAGACCAGTGGGGCTGGGAGATGACTCAGTCAATACAGTACTGACCAGGCAAACATGAGGACCTGAGTCCTGATCCGTTTTCACATACATCTAAATAAAAAGCTGAGCGTGGCAGCACAAGCTTGCAATCCCAGCACTGGGAACGTAGAGACAGAGGATTCCCTGGAGCTTGCTCTAGCCGGCTTACCCAGTCACTGAGCCCCTGTATGAAAAAGAACCTGTCTCAAAAATAAGGTAGAGATGTGACAGAGGAAGACAGCCAACCTTGACCTCTGGCATCACATGCAAGGGTTCCTGTAAGGGGCAGGGCCAAGGAATGGGGATGCAGGCAGAGATAGAGATGTATACAGACTAGACATGCAGAAATCAGTCTGACTGACAGATGAGCTTCTCAAAAGCAAGAGCATCCACCTTCTTGAATGCTCCCCATCATGCTAGTGGAAGCTGACAGCTTTATAGTCTGCATACCTTCCTAAAGAGGGGGGTTCTTAGGGGATGCTTAGTACTTCTCTCTCCTGCCCCGCTTCTCGCTGGTGGCTGGGAGGGCCTTGGCACAGGTGCAGTGGGGTTGTCTGGAGTGGTTCTTTGCACAGGGTACTGAGGAAATCAGAGTGGCCAGGTCTGGGGACCCACCTCAGGCAGTGACTCCCTGGATTTCAGTGTGCCCCCACCAGACCTTTCTCAACACAGATCAGAAAAGAACCATCCTCAGCAGAGAGGAGACATGGAAGGCCTCCAGCTGGCTGAGGCCACAGCTTCTTAGCCATCCCTTGCAGCACACCATGGCCTTTTCCCTCCATATCGGTGGGACTACATAGCTTTCCAGTTGATGACACTACACAAGTTCCCTGTGGCCATGGCTTTAGCGGCTGGTGACAGGAAAAGTCACAACTTACAATTCTAGAGATCAGAGCCCACAGATCCAGGTGCTGGCAGGGCATAGCTCATCCAGAAACTTTGGGGGAGAATGTTGTCTTGCCGACTTTTTTGGCTTTCAGAGGTTGCCCGTGTTCTTGACTCTCAGCCCTTCCTCCTTCAAGGCCAGCAGTACAGAGGTTGTCTGTCCGTCTTCTCTGGCCTCTGCTTCTGACAGGTAGTCTTCTGACCCTGCCCCTCCTGTTTCCCTTGCAAGTACTCAGATGATTATACTAGGCTCACCCAGGTCTCCATCTCTACAACTCTGCATCTCAAGATCTCTACGGTAATCATGTCTGCCAAGTCCGTTTTGTCATGTAAGGTAACACACTGACAGGGTCCAGACCCGAGAGGATGGACTGGTGCTGAACACTGATGTGGAAGCACTCAACATTCCTTCAGAAAACCCCTGGACCTTCTTGTAGCTCAGCTGTGGAGTGGAATTAGGCGCTTCCCTACCCCGTGCATGTAACATCCTCTGATGTAGCCCATACTCTGTTCTGTGTAGTAGAGTGTATGAAGGATAGCCCCAGTGCTCAGCACCTGGTAAATCTAAACTCAATCAATGCAATGTGTGTTCTCAAGAGATCCTCAAGTCTTGGGGGTTTGTAGAAAGGGCTCTGAGAGCACAGGACAGTGGGCACGATGTGGTGGAGACATGAGAGACCAGAGTAGAGAGCAGCCAGGTTGGAGGAGTCTGAGAGAAACTGCCCTGCAGTGATCACCTGAAAGAGGTAGTATTTCCAGCATCCAGGATTGGGTAGAGAAAACACAGGGGTGGCAGGGCCAAGGCAGGAAGTGCAGATAGTTCTCTTTGTATAGAGCTGTGACTTGGACAGCAGCAGAGATCCTCATCTGTCATTCATTCTCTCACTTGTTAAGCATTTGCTGACGTCCTGCTGGGTAGGAGATGCTGACTCAAGAGTCTGCTTGTGCCAGAGGAATGCACTTCCTAGTCCCTGCATGCTTTGCTCAGGATGTGACTCCCTCTGTCCCATCCTCCCCGCCACTACCACTAAGCCCTTACCCTGCCCTGGGTGGGATATGGCCCCAGGGGCAGAGGTGACTTCCTGGGCTGGGGCCCTGGCCAGCCAGATGTGCTGGACTGAGAGCATTACAGTGCTGAAGCGGTTGGTTCAAATGAACTTTCCATGATTCAGGAAGGAAGCCTTTGTCCAGGATGTATTTACAGTGTCTCATCTCCCCACTCAGCAGCAAGAGCCCAGATCTAGACCACGTTATGTAAGGGTCATCGAAGACCTCCAAGGAAGGGGGTCACTCGGAGCTCTAAAACTCCTTGAGTCATTGCTGGGATGGCTATGCCATTCATACCCAGTGACCTGGCCAAGTCGTTAAGTCACATCAAATTTTCCAGTTACATCCAGGATATCCGTTACTCATGCCTCAGAGCTGGCTACCCAAAGCTGACCGGATGAAGCTCTTCCTTCCAGCTAACTGTTCCCTTCTGAGATGAGCTTTTCTCAGTCAAGCATTAGATTTCAATAAAATACTCCTGCTTCCAAGGCTCCCTATAAATAAAGCCATAGAAAATTTAAAACATGTGCCTGCAACTCCTAAGTGGCAGTGTGACAAACTTTCAGAATACCTTCTGTGGGGTTTGTTCATTTACTTGTATTATTATTATTATTATTATTATTATTATTATTATTATTATTATTATTATTATTATAGATCTTCCTGTTATCTGAGGCAGTTTTCCTTTCCTACCTGATTTTCTACCACATCTCATGGTTTGTGTGTGCAAGTTGAGGCCAGAAGTTGACATCAAATGTCATCCTCAATTATTTTCTGAGACAATCTCTCTCAAGAACCTGCACACTGATATGGCTAGTCTGGCAGCCAGTGAGTTCCAGGGATCCTCCTGTCTCTACTTTCCATCGCCGGGATCACAGGCATATTCTGCCGGGCTCAGTTTTGGTTGGGTTTTTTGTTTGTTTGTTTGGTTTGTTTTGTTTTGTTTTGTTTTGGATTTTTTTGTTTTTTTGTTTTTCATGGGAGCTGGGGATCTGAACTCAGGTCCCCGTGCTTGCACAGCAAATACTTTTTCCACTGAGCTGCCTATCTCCCTAGCTCGATGTCTCAAGATTTTAGATGTCGGTATCCCAGACATAAATGTTATCTGCATTTCCAGTGGGATTGAGTTTCTTCTCCAGGGTCAGTCTTAATATTCAGGACGATTCTCCGTTGGCATAGCATGACCTTTACCTCTGCTCAAATACAGCTGGGGTGTTTCCTCAGGCTGCAGATTTACTTTCAGCAATGTTGCTTGGCCAGGACCACTGTCCTAGCAATGGAGACCATTATTTGACTATTAACATCATAGGTATGTTACCCGATCGTCACACGCCGAGTCACTGCCTTTCCTCGGAGGGGTCCCCAAACATGTTGTTATTATCGACCTTATCACTCACCAGATTCTACTGTCCTCTGATTTATGCCATGTCAGCTGACCAGAGAAGTTTTATGGGCTGATAAATATCCAGCATTTATCTACAAGACTGGTTTAAATGAGCTTGGTTTACTTGAAATCCACTCGGGGCCTTGTGTGAACTGTTCGCCTACTGTAACTGATGTTTACGGAGGGGAAGAAAAGATATTTTGCCAAGAGGCATATTGTTAGGGAACCAGGAAAACATGATCCGTCGTGTAAGAAGGAAGTGACAGCATCTGTTCACTTGAACTTCATTTCCTGATAAAGGTAAAGGCCAACGTGGAGAGAAGGGAAGGGCAGATGCCACCAGCTTTTGTCAATGCCTTTGTCTGTGGGTTTAAGTGACAAAGAGAGTTTGCTGACTGGCCTGAACTAGAGCAGTGTGTTTGTAGATGAAGATCATCTCAAGGAGAGAGAGGCTCAGAATGAGTAAACCTGGGGCTTCCTTCAAGATGCTGTCATCTTTGCTTCCTTTTCAAAGGACATCATGACATTGAGAACTTCCAGACTCAGTTACAAGTGTGAGCTGCAGCGCTCGAAGCCAAAGCTGGTGATTAAAATGCAGAGCAGTGTCAAGACTCCCTCCGAAAGGCTGTTTTATCTCCTGCTAGTGGCCAAGCACTGAGTGTTCCGTTATTAAGAACTCAAAGGCTTTAATTGATGTAGCACTGGAGCGATAAGAAAACTGTTGCCATTCTGTCCGAGAGATAGATGTACGGTCTCTCACCTTCGTGAAGATATACAGCCCAGAATTTTTAAGTGCAACAACTTTGAGCCTGCATCTCTGCCTCTGCTATATCTTGCAAACAAGTGGACAAGCAAGACTTAGACTTTTCAAATTCTTCACCATTCTACCTCAAAGACAAGCACCAGCTGGCAGCTTACATACAAAAACCATGCCGAACACTAGCATGTCACTGTCCTCATGGACTCAGTGAGAGGCTGAGAGTGTCAACTCAGAAGACCATCTGTGATTTGGGTTCCTTTTTATCCCTTTCTCTTAATGGTGGGTCCTTTGAATGTCAAAATGCATCCCATTTAGAGTCCCCTCCTCCCCCCACCCTTTCTTCTGAGTTTTTAGACTTGGCCTTCATCTCTGAGAGAACAGCAATTTATCTTTCCCAAAAGCAAAGCCTCTGCCTTCATGCAACTTACACAGGGCAGCACAGCAGCATTTCATTTGATGCCAGGAAGTCCGTGAAAATCCACAGCTGCAGAACAGAACACTGGGGAGATGTGTCCACAGCCCTGGGTGCTTCATTTGCAGAGCACAAATGGCTACCTCTGGGAGTCTTGGAGATGGGAGGCTGGCCCAATGGCCTTATGCTCATTTCTTCATGAATACCATGCTATTTGCAGTCAACAGGCAATATATATGGTAAATACAAGGAAGATTCATGGGAGAAAGAGGAAAAGGAGCAAAGATCATGCCCAGCCAGCTCCATGGGAAGGGAGAAACAGAAGAAGGCCCTGAGGGACCCAGCAGCCCTAGATCCATAAAATACGCCGATTGGTCTAGACCAACATGGACCCTATCATGTGACCTGTGAGACAGATTGCTCTGGCCAGAAGGGAGTCTTAATGTCCATCCCTCCAGCATTGCATGCAAAAGTCAGCTATCCCTGACCATGTAAAATGGACTTCCTATAAGAAAAACATATTGGTCCTGGAAGCAGGTGTAGAGTAGACATACTAGGCACAGCCATCAAACAGTCTCACATCTTCTGCACTGCAACTCCTTATTAATAAAGCAGATTTTGCTTCAGATCATCAGGGGAAAGCCCTCTACCCTGACTCTCCTAGATAAGGGGGTTAGTTACTCCATAGAAGGGTGTGGTTGGTGAGCTACACGGGAAGGGGGGGAACAGGGCTAAGAAGTGCCCATGAGCTCTAGCTGGGAGAATATTGGTCCCAGAAAGCAGCCCAGAGCCCTTCATGGCATCATCCTACCGTCTAAAGTTGGAGGTGGTCAGATGAGGCATGAGAATTGAACTAAGTTTCAACTGGCTGCATCATTGTAAGTTTGATTAATCTTTAGCCTTGAAATGTCTGTTTCTTGTAAGGGGTATCTCCTCACACCCCTAAGACTATCTACAGTAGGAAACATTAGGTAATTAGATGAGGACCAGCATTTCACATAGAGCTCTGTTCATTCCCTCTGCCTTCCTGGACCTCCCCCATCATCCAGTTAAAAGAGCAGTTTTGGGGTATTGATGGGAACTGCCAGTCCATGACTGCTGGAAGATGGGGAAGGTAAAGCATCATGTTGTGCTCTCCACAGACAGGAACACAGAACGGATACAGGGTGGACTATAGACCTCGTCTGTGCCATCTGCTCTATCTTGTCTCCCAGTTACAGTAGTAGAGGAAGGCGTGGCCTCACTCCCTTCCACGTCAGTTCCTTTGCCTCATCACAAGTCATTGCTAAGGTCATTGACAGAGACACATCCTGGCTGTACCCGAGTCAGCAGCAAACTGTGACCTAGAGTCTCCTGCTCCTTCAACACTTCCTGGTAGAGAAACAAAGTTAACCCCAGAACCCTCTATTGTTCAAGCTACTGTGGAGAAAATTTTATTGGCCAAATTCCATGTAGCGTGTTATCTTAGAAACTGACATCTCCTCACAAGTTGGTTTGTGGGGGGGGTGGCATGTTTGTGTGTTTATATACATGTTTTTGTGCATGTGGGCAAGATATCTAGTGTCATCTCCAATCTTTATTTTCTAAGAGGACCTCTCACTAAACCTGGAATTCACCGACTCAGCTAGACTGACTGGCCAGCAGGCTCTAGGAACTCTCTTGTCTCTGCCTCCTCAGCACTGAGATCATAGGCGCATGCCTGGCTTTGTAAAGGGATGTCGGGGATCTGAACTCAGGTCCTGGGAAGCACTTTACCAACTCCAGCCATCTCTCCAGCCCCTTCTCTAAAAGTCATCTTTGGGGGATTTTTTTTTTCTTTTCTTGGATGAGGAGAGTCAACCAAAAGCTTAAAACTATCTGGTACCTCTCTGCAGTGTCTTCCAGTTGGAGGGAAATTCCTCTGGGCACGCACAGACTCTATGGGAGTGTCACCCTGATGGTCAGGATCAGAGGGAAGCAGGGAGCAGCCACATCATGATCCATCAAGCTGTGCTTCAGAAAAGGGCTGGCGGACACAGAATCGAGTGAAGGAGAGGAGAGTCTGTGGTAGAAAAGGAAGGTGTCACTGCAGAAACCCAGTGGTCTTTTTCTGTAACATTAGTTCTGATTGGGGCTGGTGTAACTTAGCTGGGAGCTCCAGGAGGCCTGTCTAAAAATGCTTATTAGGAATAAAGAAAGGGGATATGCCAGGTGTGGTGGCTCGTGCCTTTAATCTCAGCACTCAGGAGGCAGAGGCAGGTGGATCTCTGTGAGTTCAAAGGTAGCCCGGTCTACATAATGAGTTCCAGGACATTCAGACCTACATAGTGAAACCCTGTCTCAAAACAAACCACCAAAGAGGAAGCAGAAGGTCTGGAGTGGCTAGTACAGAGGTCGGGGGCAGACACGGCACATCTCACATGGAAAGAAGGTGGCCGGGGCGAGTTGTGTGCTTTTGCTATTGAATGAGGTGGCCGGTCTGCTGGTCGCTGATAAGGACCCAGCACAGGTTGAAGAACAATGAGCGTCACTGGGGAGGAGGAAGGGAGCCCTGGCCATGGACCAAGTCCGATTGGGATCTAGATTGCCTTGTCACCTTCGAATGCCAACAGAGACTCCCGGGGAGTGGGGAGCAGAGAAGGACATGGGGCAGGTCTGGACTTTGGGAAGTCACCTCCTAGTCATTGAAAGTGCTGTGAAAGGAAATATCCAAACCAGATCTGGGAGGGAAATCAATCAAGACCATGTGGCCAGGCATGGTTTGGTCTGCCCTATTCTCCTGACCTCCTCACGGTTACCAATAGCTACCCTTGTGGCTGACATATAAGAGCCCGCCAAAGCTTTGGCCCTGCAGCCCTCAGTCATGGGTTCCCTTTCCCTGACAAGAAGAGGTGGGTTTTGGCCACTTCCTGGGTTCTCTAGCTCCTGTTATCACCCTCCCACACACACCATGGCATATCCTGCTGTGCACAGTGACTGGTGGATCTGACAAGGCTCTGGTCTGCGAGAACAATCTCTGCAGAAATGACCATTCACTGAAGACAGTGCTTACTCCTGGAGCTTTCTAGGATGAAAACAAAAGATTTCTGCATCCCTCTCACTCTTCCTCCTCCCACTCTCCCCTACCCCCACCCCACCCCACCCCCACACATTAGCCATCTAGCTTGTCTTTTTTTCACCGGAATTGTGTGGGATGTTGCTACAGAGAGTAGCTTCCCCTTGTCTGCAGCCAGCCAGCCAACTCCTTCCTGCTCCTGACCAGATCCGATTGCACAGTCCGGCCTAATCTCTTGAGGGTCTGCACATGCCTTGGGTCCCGATCCAAGCCTACAACACAACACAGAAAAATGAGTGGGCTTTCCCTGGGCTGGGCCAGGAAAGGATGCCAACTGTGGGTCCTCTAGGTTTGCAGCAGCCAACTCCTGAGCCAGCTGGGTGCCGTATGCCACTTCTCTAAACACGGGCTACCCCTCCCCTGAACCCCAAAGCCCAGTGCTGTTTGGAGGAACCCAGAAGCAGCCACGAGGAAGGTGCCACTGTGCTTCTGTTCCAGGTGCTAAACCAGCCCCTGGCATCTGCTTTGAGAGAGTCAACTCTGCAGGAGATCCTTACGGCAACTGTGGCAAAGACTCGAAGAGTGCCTTCGTCAAGTGTGAGATGAGGTATGAGGCCACGCACCCTGCCGCGGTGGCACTGAGCCTGTCCACATGGCAGAGGCCGCTCCACGCGGCCCCTCTTCTGAGCTTGTGTGTTCTTACCCTTCCAGAGATGCCAAGTGTGGAAAAATCCAGTGTCAAGGTGGTGCTAGCCGACCAGTCATTGGTACCAATGCGGTTTCCATAGAAACAAATATCCCACAGCAGGAAGGAGGTCGGATTCTGTGCCGGGGGACCCATGTGTACTTGGGCGATGACATGCCGGACCCAGGGCTTGTGCTTTCAGGAACCAAGTGTGCGGAAGGAAAAGTAAGAACCCAGTTCTCACTTGCGTCCTAACGTAAGTCTGGAACACAGCCCACCGGAAGAGCCTGCTTAGGAACTGGGGGGTGAGGACAGCTGATTTTCCTAAATCTTCTCAAAAGATTGTCTCTGGAATCCAAACAGTCAAGCTGAGGTCCCAGTCTGACCACTGAGACACGGATGGGGGGACATGGGCTCCCTTTAGCATAAGATATTTTTTCACCCTGGGCTTCAGGGGGGCTTCCTGCCAGGATGTCACTTCAGAAAGAAACACAGCAGTGGACAGTGGAGTGTCTTGCTTTGGGGAAGTGCTAAAGCTCTTGGGGCCTGTTCTCACCTGGGCAGAATGGAAAGTCAGCTGCATCTTCAGAGACTATAGAGAAAGGAGGAGCAGCACAGGAGAGGGGAGCAGCTGAGAGATGGGTGAGGAAGGAAGGAGGAGCACAGGAGAGGGGAGCAGCTGAGAGATGGGTGAGGAAGGAGCAGCACAGGAGAGGGGAGCAGCTGAGAGATGGATGAGGAAGGAGCAGCACAGGAGAGGGGAGTAGCTGAGAGATGGATGAGGAAGGAGCAGCACAGGAGAGAGGAGCAGCTGAGAGATGGATGAGGAAGGAACAGCACAAGAGAGGGGAGCAGCTGAGAGATGGATGAGGAAGGAGCAGCACAGGAGAGAGGAGCAGCTGAGAGATGGGTGAGGAAGGAAGGAGGCGCACAGGAGAGGGGAGCAGCTGAGAGACGATGGACACGGATCCTTTGGAAGAACAAAGAGGAGGAAGGCTGGGATGTTTTGAGAGTTAAAAACAAGATCAGAAATTTTAAGGGAAGATACTAGGATTTTTGTGTTCTGCCACACTGGTTCATATATAGGCATGTGTGCAAATATGAGTGTGGGCGGATTTAAATGTATATGTGTATACTTGTGTGTAGTGTGTGTGTGTACATGGGTGAGCATGTGAGTCTACATATGTGCAAGGTGTGTGCGTGCGCACGTGTGTGTACCAAGGGCGATCTTAACTACATTCCTCAGCCATCTTTTTTCTTTCTGTTTGTCTCTTTTTTTTTCTTTCTTTTTTCTTTTTTGACACAGGTCACATGCTTGCACAGCACGTCCTTTACAGACTGAGCTCTTTCCCAGTGTCCGTTTTGCTCTTGTTTGTCTTTTCATCAAATTTTCCATCAGATTAGATGATAGCAAATTAATTAAATGTTTCAAGAAAACATGATAAATCATCTCACATTTTCAGGACCCATTTTTCCCATGGTCATGAAATCATTCTCAAAGGTCATGGTGAAGAAAGGACAGAACCCAGGGTTTCCCTCACAAAATCCTGGAGGCAGAAATGTCCTCTACACATGTCCCCACATGCCCTGAGCCACAGACACGCTTCTTTTTTAAAATTATTTTTTGTGTGTGTGTATGAGTGTTTTGCTTACATGAATGTCTATGCACCATGAACATGCCTGCTGCCCACGGAAGCCAAAAGAAGGCATCAGATCCCTAGGGCTAGAGTTATAGACAGTTATAAGCAGCCATGTGGGTGCTGGGAATCAAACCTGGGTTCTCCGGAAGAGCAGCTGGTGCTCCTAACTGCTGAGTCATCATCTCTCCAGCCCTACACACTTCCTTTGAGGAAGATTCCACACCCTTCTGATCCCCCAGGCACATTAGCTTCTGTTCAGGCCTTGACATTACAACACCCGTTTTTTGTTTTTTGTTTTTTTTTTTTTTAAGATTTCTCAGCAGGTAAAGGTGTTATTGGCAAGCATAATGTCCTGAATTTTATCTCATGAACCCACATAGTAGGAGAGACCTGTCTCCCACAAGTTGTCCTCTGGCCCCCATAAGTGCCACCCCCAACACACAAATAAATAAATGACTTTCATTTTATAATTTTAAATGCATGTACAATACATTGAAATTACTGAAGTCCTTTAATTTTCTCCCTCTTTCATTATTGAAAGGTAGTTATTTTTGTTAGCTAATATTATTTCCTTCTTGGGTCTCTGAGGGAGTTGAAGATTAGTTAGTTATAGTTGAAGGTTAGTTAGTTATAGTTGAAGATTAATTAGGATAGAAAGTGAATTAGATACATTTTGGACTTAACAAAATAGGATAGATAATGAAATTATTTTCTCTGAATTTGTCAAATACAAATGGACTAGACATTGTTTAGACATTTATTACTTGTATATATTGTATATAGTCATTGTACTTTTGTATATAGTTTTTCTTTTGTTAGTTATAACCTTTTTCTTTTTTTTCCTTTTTATTAAAATAGAAAAGGGGAAAAAAAAAAAAAAAAAACCCACTCCATCTGAGCTCAGGGCTCTCTGCTCTCACAGCTGCATCAGACAGACAGAGAGACCAGAGCTTGAAATAAAGGCTCTTTGCTTTTACATGTGGGATTCAGTCTCCATGATGGCCTTTTGGGGGTCACCATGATCTGGGCACAACACCACCATCTTAGGCCGCTTGCTGTGCTTGGTTCCACAAAGGACTTCAGGATTGTGCCATGACAACTTGAACAGATACAGAGCAGTCTGCAGTTATGGCCCTTGAAGCTATCTAGATAATCCTGCTGAGCAGCCCAGATAATCCTGTCCAACAAGTTGTAGTTCCCTGCCCAAAAGCCCAACCCAATAGTTTCAAATGTGGTTTCATGCTAAAAGTCTAGACCAATAGTTTCAAAAAATCACCTTGCCTCATGTCCCTTCTACCAAATCCCAAATTGCTAAAGCATGTAATTCCTGGCTTGTGGTTTTTCCTTATAAAAACTCTATACCCCTGGGCCTACCTCCATCTGCCGAGTGGTAGCCCAGGTTTGAATCTGACAATAAAAGGACCCTTATGTGCTTGCATCGGAAAAAAAAAAAAACACGTCATTTTCAGTATAATCTAGATTGTTATGGAAAGTCAGGATGTTTAAGTCCCATGAAGGCCAACAAGGCTATAGAACATGTGAGAACTGGCTGGACTATTCTTGTTGCATATAGCCAACCTAAAGTGTCAAGTATTCAGTTTGAAACAACACCCGTTTTTATAAACTATGGTCTGAGAAGCCTGGGCTGCTGTAGCCCAGCACACTGGAATCCCAGGAATGCTGCAGCATGTGAACCTTACCAATGAGATCGTGACTACACAGGGCACTCCTGGCGGAAAGGTTCTGTGTTCAGTGCCCTTCCTTGCCACATCCATGTGGACACAGCCTTGCATATGGATCCTCCTGAGCTGTCTACTTTTTTTTTTTCCTCACCTACCTGGAACTTGCCAAGTAGGCCGGACTGGCTGGGCAGTGAGCCCCAAGGATCCTCCTGCTTGCACGTCCCCAACTGTGAGGTCACAAGCACACGCCACCATACCCTGGTGTTTATGCCGGTTCTGGGCTCTAACTCAAGCCCTCCTGGTTTCAGGGCAAGCACTTGACTGGCAGAATCATCTCCCAGCCCCTGGGGTTTATCCAGGAACACTGAGCCTGTCTTCTCCTCCACTGACTCCTACTACTGTTTTCTCTTAAGGGCACTCACTCTGCCCTCTGTGAACTGTTAAGGGGAGATGGCCACCTGCCCACAGGAAGGTTCTTCTTGGTGAATCCGCTCTGTCTTCTAAACCTTGAACTCTTCTTCCTTTCTCTCCATGAATCTGTAAAGTTGCAGGAGAGAAAGGTGCTGAGCACTGCTGAAAAAGGCAGCCACTTCCAAGCAGCCAAGGCCATTCAGCAATTAGGAGCCTCTGCAGTGAGTAGATAAACAGGACCCTGGGGAGCATTCCTGTGGATGCTTTGTGTTGCTACTGACCCACAAAGCCCTAAACAAAACTCATGAGAAAATCAGTTATAATTTCTCATTTCCACTAAAACCATCTTAAATGCCAGTAAACAGAAAAGAACTCAATCAATACTGTTCACATTGAACAAAGTGTCCAGTCAGACCCCGGTAGCCTTGTCTGAAGCAAACAATACAAGTTGTTATGCTCCATCCATGCTCACTGAAATGAGAGCCTTCTCCAAGTTTTTTCTTTCATGTTATGTATGGAGGGTGTGCAAACATGTGGACATGTTTGTCTGTGACCTACGGAAGCCAGAGGTCAACCTCTGGTCTCATTTGTCTGGTGACATCCACCTTGTTGTTTTGAGACAGGGTCTCTCACGGGAACCCAGGCCAATAGGTTAGGATGGCTGACCAGCAAGCGCCAGAGATCCACCTTTCTAAAACACACATGACAATGCTTGGGTTTTGTTTTTTGTTCTTACATGGACTCTGGGGATTGAACTCACTCAGGTCCTTAGGTTTACACAACAAATACATCACCAACAGAGCCATCTCACCAGTCCTGCTTTCTCTTTTTCATGCACCTGTGTAAGGGAGGGGAGCAGAGGTACTGAGGCGTGTGCTGTGTGTCTCCTACAGATCTGCCTCAATCGTCGGTGTCAGAATATCAGCGTCTTCGGAGTTCACAAGTGTGCAATGCAGTGCCATGGCCGAGGGGTAAGTAGGATTAGTCTCCTTCACTCAGCCAGCACACAGCAAGCTAATAGCATTTCGTTTTTCTCATCTATTTATTTTATGTGCATGAATGTTTTGCATGGGGGCGGGGGTGTACGTACATGCTGCTACCCACAGAGGCTAAAGAGCAGGTCAGATTTCCTGGAACTAGAGTTACAGATGATTGTGAGCCACCATGTAGATGCTAGGAACCAAACCCAGGTCCTCTACAAGAGCATCAAGTACTCTTAACCACTGAGCCATCTCTCCAGCCCCTACTATCCATAGCTTCTTAAAAACCACAATAGCCAGTGAGGAGCTCCTCAACATTTTCTTCCAGAGGCGTTAACTGTCTCTGACCTTTACGTAGCAGGAGAAATGTCACTTTCATTTAACAAAGAAAATCAGATTGAGAGGTAATTATCTTTTGAATTAACATTCTGTGATATAAAGAAAGAATTTTGTCATCTTCAAAGTAATTTCGAAGCTAACCTTGCTTCATGAAGGGCTCACATTAGCATTTCAAGCAGGGCTCTCCCTCTTGCTCCCAACAGCCCAAATATGTCTCAACCAAGATACTTACAAAAGGGATAAAAATGAGGACATCAGATCTACCAACCATGTGCTCTTGAATGCCCTTGCCATGGGTTTTGACTACCACACGCTGCTGAGTTCTGAGATGCTTTAGGGAAGAAACGTACTCTAATTGTTTAAAACGTAAATTTTTTTCCTGAAGCAGTTAATTTTTTTCCCAATGGGATTATATTAATCTTGATTAGTTGTGCCAGTGGCTCATTTGTTCTCCTGAAGCTTTTTCTACAGAAACCATGCTTTAAATTGTAATTTTTAGACGACCTACACACTTGGGATTATGGAGGCCTTTGCAAAATCATCGCCATGCTGTGACCATGATAAATTGCTGGGCCACCTCAGACAGACGAGTTGATGTTGTATTCAGCTGACTCAGTATCAAAAGGAATCTCTTCCTGTCTTCACTGGATTATAGATTTTTTTCTAATGGTGATAGATGAACAAGCCTGGTCCTTTTGTTTCAGTGATGAGGTCAAGGCCAATGTGGTAGTGAGGGTGTGTCCATAGTAACCTTACTGGCTCAGAGAAAGTAGGACAGAGGCCTCTCTGGTATCTATGGGTACATGTTGGCAAGCCAAGGCCCGTATTTTTTGGAATAGTTAGCTATGACTTAGTTTGATAATTAAAGGTGATCTAAAGTCACCTGGAAGATGGACCTCTGGGCATGCCTGTGGAAGATTATCTTGACTAGGTTGAGGTGGAAAGACCTGCCCAGTATGGGTAGCATCATTCCCTGGGCTGGGATCCTGGACTATATAAAAATGAGAAAGTGAGCTGAGCACAGAATTCATAGCTCTCAAATTCTTCACTATGGATGTAATGTGACCACTTGTTTCAGCTCCTATCACCATGACTACCATAGTGGACCCAGGACTGTGAGTCAAAATAAACTCTTTTCTTTAAGTTTATTTTTTCCCAGGGTATGTTATTACAACAGCAGAAAAGAAACTAAGACATTTGGTAACAAGTTGCTTGGCCCCAATCCCCCTATGATGAGACCGGGTTCACCACCAGTACTTCCAAGCAGGAAATCTGGACTGCAGTTTCCTGCTTCCAGCCAAGACCACAGGAGGCAGGGTGCGAGTCTCATGGGCGGTTTGCCAGCCTCAGCATCTTTGCCATGTATACAGGATGTACCACAGACACTAGAGAGCGGTCCTGTCCCACTTGCTCTTGACCAGTCCAGGTTACTGTGGATACATAACCCTGCCGTGTGAGCCTTGGCCTCATCACTAAAGCGAAAGAACTGGGTTAATCCATCCATCCCTTACAACCATTAGAAAGAAATCTGTAACCCGCTGGTCAGAGGTGCTCTACAAAAGACGGAGCCCTGATTAATAGGAGTGTCCTAGAAAGTGCATCCCTGCTTCTCACAGCCTTGTTGACTCTTGGCCTCACAGATGAAGCAACTGGACCAGAGATTGGATCCTTCACAGAAGCCAAGTAGAGCAGGGAGCCACCACAAGCAAGACACAGGCTGCAAATGTTTTGTTTGCCTTAAGATATTCAGGCATATGTTTGACCCCAATGGGTTTGGTTTTGTTTTGTTTGGTGGGTTTTGGTTTTGGTTTTGGTTTTTGGTTTGTTTTTGTTTTGCTTTTTGTTTTTTGTTTTTTGTTTTTTTTTGGTTTTTACAAGACAAGGTTTCTCTGTGTAGCCCTGGCTGTCCTGGAACACACTCAATAGACCAGGCTGGCCTTGAACTCACAGAGATCCGCCTGCCTCTGCCTCTCAAGTGCTGGGATTAAAGGTGTGCACCACCACCACCCAGAGGCTCCAGAGTTCTTATGCAGGGCCCTCAAGTTGGTTTGCTAGTTCCACTGACGTCTATACAACAAGCCACCCAGAAATATGTCACCTGTGATTTACAGTGTTTACATGGAAGGGAAGTACAGATACCAGAGAGCTGTCTGGGCTCACAGTCCTTGATCTGGGCAGCTCGACCCAGTCACCTGACCACTGTCCTGCCCCTCCTACTCTGTCAGGTGGGCCTTTATCCAATGCTCCCACAGCTTAGCCTACTTTTCATAAAACCAGACATACAGACTGCTGCAGCTAGAGATGTAGCTCATTTGGGAGAGTGTTCACCTAACATGCACAAAGCTCTGTGTTCGATCTCAAGTACCTCATAAAGTGGGCATGGTGGAGCACACCTATAATCTCTCGGCACTCAAAAGGTGGAGGCAGGAGAATTAAAAATTCAAAGCCATTCTTGTCCACATAACTAGTTCAAGGCTAACCTGGGATGAATGAGACCCTGTATCAAAAAATTTAAAAAAGGAAAGAAAATCTTCTATTCTTCACTCTCAAAATCAACTGGTTCATGTCCAGTCTGGTGAGTTATGTAAACATCAACAGTGAATCTAAGCGGAGGAATCACTGTGAGTGACCCTTGGCAAGTAGATGCAGAGACTCCTGGTCCTCCTACTGGAACTCTGCTCTCCCATTAGAGTGCATTATCCAGGAACAACGAGGGCAAAAGCACCCTCTCCTGCCATCTGCTTCACAAGGAAGAGTTCTGTTGTCTTTGCCTATCATGTATAGTGACAGGGAGCCAGGTAATGAATGGGGCTGAAAGAAAGAACAGGCATTTGGGGATAAAAGTAGACTCACAGGAATGTTGGCAGACCCCTGCGTCCTTCCATGGACATCAGAAAATAAGAGACCCAACATTGGCCTCTTCCCCACCCCAGACTGCTGGGGTCCTCCCTGAACCTCCCAGAGGAGACAGGTTTATGCCACAGTAGTCTGATTCTGGGTCCCTAAGTGGATTCCTCCTTACCACAGAGAAGGGCAGAGAGGAGGAAAGGGGAGCTGGCTCTCAGCAGCAGCTCCTGAGCACAGGCAGCTTGTACTGCTCTCACCTCCCCCCCTGAGGCTCCAGTTCACCGGTGAGGTGCTGTCTGGGGCCAAGTCTCCTGGTCTTGGTGTTTACTGAGTCGACGTGTGTTGCTGAGGGGATCTGGCAGAGTATCCTTGTCTTGTGTGTCCCAACCATGCCCCTTCTGGATGTTTATCTCCACTTCTACCCCAAAGGTGTGTAACAACCGGAAGAACTGCCACTGTGAGGCCCACTGGGCCCCTCCCTTCTGTGACAAGTTTGGCTTTGGAGGAAGCACAGACAGCGGTCCCATCCGGCAAGCAGGTGAGTGGGGCTCCTTGGGAGTGGATGCTGAGCTGCTGGAGGCTGCGGATACTGGGCAGGCTTCAGTGAGGACTCTGCATGCCTCTGTCCCAGCCCGAAGCTCTCAGGTTCTAAATGCTCCCTCTCCCCCCTGGCTTTTCCTTTGGCCCTGGATCCCCCTCAGTGCAGCTGAGGCATTGCATTGGCCATTTTCTCTCCCTGGGATACTTTTCTCAGCTTAGGCAATGTCCACGGTGAACTGCCAAGTGTGTATGAATGTCACTGTCATATCAAAGGACTTTGTAAAGGGTAGCTTTTGTGTACTGCCACCCCAGTGCATTTTAAATCTCTGAGAGTGATAGTGCTCTCTCCTCTCTCTCTCTCTCTCTCTCTCTCTCACACACACACACACACACACACACACACACACACACACACGGGGTGGGGGGGAGGAACAAGCAAGAACAACAAAAATATGACAGCTACCTCTTAATAAAGAGAATAGTTACCACCAGAGATGGCTCAGTTGGGAAACTGATTGCCACTTGAGCGTGGAGCCACAGAACCCACATAAGAAGCTGAACATGGTAGTGCATGCTTGGAGGAAGTGGGGAGCAGAGATAAGAAGACCCCTGGTAGGGCTAAGATTGGAGCTTAGTCAACAGGGTGCTTACCTAGGATGAATGCGGCCCTAGCTCAGTGGTTCTCAACCTGTGGGTCATGGCCCTTTGGGGTTGAATGACCTTTTTACAGGGGTCACCTGAGAACATCTGCAGATGAGATATTTATGATTCAAAGCAATAGCAAAATTGTAGTTATGAAGCAATGAAAATAATTTTATGGTTGGGGATCACCACAACATGACGAACTATATTAAGGGGGTGCAGTATTAGGAAGGTTGAGAACCACTGGCTAAATTTAATCCCCAGTAGGACACACCTGTCATCCTAGCAGTGGGGAGGTGGAGGCAGGAGGATCAGGAGTTCAAGGCTATCCTAGGTTTCCTAGCAAACTTCAAGTCATCCTGGGCTCTATGAGACCCTATCTCAGAAAAGAGATCTATGGGGTCAGGGTCAGGCAGGACAGATGACAGTCACTGAGGGCTGTGGTGATATTGTGTTTCCCAAAATATTGTGCACCCTAATAAACTTATCTGGGATCAGAGAACAGAACAGTCACTAGATACTGAGGCCAGAAAATGGTGGCACTCACACCTTTAATCCTAGCATTCTGAAGGCAGAGATCCTTCTGGATCTCTGTGAGTTCAAAGCCACACTAGAAACAGCCAGGCATGGTGACTCACCCTTTAATCCCAGGAAGTGATGGCAGAAAGCAGAAAGGTATATAAGGTGTGAAAACCAGGAACTAGAACTGGTTAAGCTTTTAGGCTTTTGAGCAACAGTTCAGCTGAGATTGATTCTGGATGAGGACTTAGAGGCTTCCAGTCTGAGGAAACAGGATCAGTTGAGGAATTGGCAAGGTGAGGTGGCTGTGGCTTGTTCTTTTTCTCTGATCTTCCAGCATTCACCCCAATACCTGGCTCCAGGTTTGTTTTTATTAATAAGACCTTTTAAGATTTGTGCTACATCAGGCAGCTCCCAGGATACAGATTGGACAGTAGAGTCATGATACTACCTGGGACACTGGCTTGGACAGTTCAGTAGATGGCTATTCATGGCAACAGGCAACCCTGAGGTGCCCAGGTACTATTTAGGGCCTGGCAGGACTTTGACTGGATCACTTTAAGACTTAAGGTAGCCTGATGGGTTATGTGTCTTCCTTCCCACATGTGCTAAATAAAAAGGCATCAAATTACAAAAGGAGAAAAAAAATGTTTTTAATCTCAAAGTAGCTTCAAATTTGCTATGTAGCCAAGGATAGCCTGGAGCTTCTAATCCTCCTGCCTCCACCTCCCAAATGTTAGGGTCATAGGCATGTATACCACCACATCTGGTTTGTGGGGTTCTGGGGATCAAACCCAGAGCTTCCTGCATATACTCTACCAACTGGGCTACAGGCCCAGCCTCAGCCCCACAGGTTAAATTTCACAAAGAATTTGCACAGCATTCTCCCAACAATAGGGAGCTTGCCCCCAGAGGCAGTACTAAGTCCCTAGCACTGAAACCAAATCCAGGGGTAACTTCATTTTTTTTCTTTTTTCACTCTCTAAATTGAGATGCCTCAAAATGAAGTCTGATTCAAGAATGAATAAATGAATGAAGAATAAAAGTAAACTCAGACTGAAGTGTGAAAGGAGCCTAGTATCAAGGATATATGGGAGAGGTCACAGATGACCTTTTGGGAGCCCCCAATCCTGATAGGACGGTCCCCTGGTACTCTGTGTAGCTCCACGGTTCACTCTGCTGTGGTTGTGCCTAGGGGACTCTGTGTGGTCCAGCCAGGGTCCCACCTACCAGACCATGTCCCTGCATTAGCAAGTTCCACAGCTGTCACAGATGAATAATGGTGGCATAGACCAGAACTCAGACTCGACCTTTGGAGAGAGACTAATTTATTAGGACATCGTTCAGGGATTTACGTGCTCTGGTTCTGTTTGTTCCTTTAGAGCTCGCTCGGCCATAAATGTCACAGTGCGATGTCTTCCGTATTTTATTGGACCGGCCTCCTCCCCTGAGCCAAATGTGTTTTGTTTCAGATAACCAGGGCTTGACTGTAGGAATCCTGGTAAGCATCCTGTGTCTGCTCGCCGCTGGATTTGTGGTGTATCTCAAAAGGAAGACCCTGATGCGGCTGCTGTTCACACATAAGAAAACCACCATAGAAAAGCTGAGGTATGTCATCTCAAGGAATGACGGCTGAAAGAATGTCCAACCAACTGCTTCTCTGTGCCACCCTCAGCAGGGGAGGGAGGCAGATTTTCTGGATAGTAACACTGGGTCTCTGGGTCTGTTTGTTTTTGCTTTTGTAAATGTCTGCCAGGCCAGCTGTCTCTCTGACTCCCCCTTCAAACTACGTGCCATCCATTACGTAAATAAGCAGGGTGTTGGTGAATTCCACAGACGGGTCTTCTCTCATCTTTGCATTAGTATTTTTTTACAAGGCCTGCGGACACTGGAATGTGTTCCTCACATGGCAGAGCTTCAGGCCCAAATGTGCTTGGAGACACTACTGCTGAAATGCCAGCATCATGCAAAACATCCCCTATGTGCCCAAAGCTAAGTTTCTATGGTTTTCAGTTAAATAATTTGACAGAACAGTGGCTGGAGAGTGGAGGTCAGTATTCATTTTTTCAACTCATAGGCATGTTAGATCATTTTCCCCCTGCATGCTTGTCCATGAAGTTTAAAAAGAAAGAGTGACAGTCTAAGAATCAGGCACAGGGTATGAGGAGCTGTAGTAAGGAGGACAAGCCCTTGCTTAGCGAGTGTTGGGTTGCCTTGCAGGTGTGTGCACCCTTCCCAGACACACAGTGGTTCTCACCTTGGCCAGGCTCACCCCACCCTCGGAAAAGGCCTGCTGATGAGCCGGCCACCACATTCCAACACCCCCAAGGTAGGTCATACAAGGACTTAGTGTGCTGTAAAGGTATGAGTTTTACAGAACAAGATTGCATGGGGAAACGGGGCTCCATCATGCCTGTGAAATGCTTAGTCAGCACCTTTGGTTCAACCATACCCCACTGCCACTACAATGTTCAGAGCCCAGAGGTAGGCCCCAGAGTAACCCCTTGTGGTCCCTAAAAGATTCTGATAAGACAATCAATGTCCCCACATAGTGGAGTATGTGGATATTACAAATCATAATCAATCCTCTGTAGTGACCTAGACCTGCCATTTCTCAGCAGCCACACTAGGAACACAGCCAGATCAGACTCCTGTTTCAGGGCCACCAGCTATGTCTAGGTGAGCTTTCTGGCCTGTGTCTAAGTTCTGCTGAGCCTCAGCTTTGCCCAGAACTGTAGAATCCATGACCATTCCATTCTTGTAAAAATTTTTGTCCTTATGCTCAGGTATCCAATGGTTCCCCCATGTCTCAGTGTTTTGCTTGCCCATAAGAATTCTTAAATATTGAATTCCATTGTGGTTTGAATGCGAGTTCAACACTGGCCCGTGTGTTGCATGCTTGATCTCTGGATGATGGTGTCATTTGGTGAGATGGGAGAAACTTCGGGAAGTCGAACCTCCTGGAAGGAAGTCGACCCAAGGCAACAAGAGGGGATTCGAAGGCTGTACTGGTCCTCTGTCACTCCCTCTCCCCGTTTCCTGTCCATCAGATGGTTCTGCACACACTTCTATTGTGCTCTTCTACCTAAGGAAGCAGGGCCAGGCAGCCACGGGCTGAACCTCTAAAGCTATGAGCCTTACGAAACCTGCTTCCGGGCTGCTCACACCAGGCACTCTGTCACAGCAATACACTGTCTGACTGGTGCAAACTCGGACAAATGATAACAGAGAACAAGATAGATGCCGAGAAATAAGGAATTACTGAAAAGAATATTATCACCAATTCAGCAGGCAATGCGCTGTTTTACTTCTTTTGGTCTAAAAAATAGAGATTGGGCCTCTAAAAGGGAAGCCATCACTCCCAGTAAATGTGCCTCCCTTCATCCCCAAACCTGGAACCACCATCTAGAAAGGTGTGTTTTAGGGGGGCCAAGAGCAAGAACTAAAAACTGGAGATGACCCAAAGGTCTACCAACAGATGAGAGAATTAACAGTGGCATATTACACAGTGGTTGCTACTCAGCAAGAAGACAGAGTCAGCCACCGACTCACAAATCATCAGGGGTGAAGCTCAGAGCAGCCATTCCAAGCCAGAAAAGCCAGTCAGAAAAGGAGCACATAGTCTATGGTGCCACTTACATACAACTTTAAAACCTGAAAACTCATTTAGAATGACACCAAGAGGATGCCAAGGTCTAGAGGGAATGAGGGAGGGGAGGCAGAAGTGACAAGGAAGCTCTGCTGGTGACAGACACATTGTCGGGGTTACCACACAACCTCCATGGGTATGGGCATCAGGCAAGTCAGGCACAGTGGCACACGCCTGTAATCCCCATACATGAAAAGCATCTTCGGTTCAAATCACAAAAACACAGACGCAAAACAAAGAATTGGGTAAAGAAAAAGCGCTGTTGTGCACATTAAATGCATGCAGTTGATTGGGTATTAATCCTACATCAATAAAGTTATTTATAAAGAGAAAGAGTGTGAAGTACCAGGTCAAGCTGCACCTGCTCTGGTCCTCCTTCAAAGCCCAAGGGAAGTTTGTTCAGAGATGAGCACCTTGCTGCTGGAGCCAGTAGTTAGTTCTCACATTACCCTGAGCCTTGTGCACACTGAGCTCACGCCGTCTTCATAACGTCCTTATGATCAAGTCTGTGTCTTCATACTTGGGACTTCAAGTCCATTTCATCTATTTGTTACTTAAGACAGCTTGAAGACTGATTGATCGAGGTGGAATCTTCTAGCAAACACTAGTTTCAAACTCTCAATCCTCCTGCCTCAGCCTTCCGAGGGCTACTGTCACCTATTTGGTTTTTAATGTTTGTTCTGTTAATCTACATAAAAACACATCTTGGCCAGGCAGTGGTGGCGCACGCCTTTAATCCCAGCACTCGGGAGGCAGAGCCAGGCGGATCTCTGTGAGTTCGAGGCCAGCCTGGGCTACCAAGTGAGTCCCAGGAAAGGCGCAAAGCTACACAGAGAAACCCTGTCTCGAAAAACCAAAAAAAAAAAAAAAAAAAAAAAAAAAAAAACACATCTTGCCTGGCAGTGGTGGTGCACACCTTTAACCCCAGCACTCGGGAGGCAGAGGCAGGTGGATCTCTGTGAGTTTGTTTGAGGCCAGCCTGGGCTATAGATTGAGTTCCAAGAAAGAGAAACCCTGTCTCAAAAAAAAACAAACAGACCAAAAAAAAAAAAAAACCACGTTTCTATTGTAGATTTAGGGGTGCTTCCTTTAGAATTTTGAGGTGTAAATAAGTAAATACAGTCCTCTGTATGGCCACCCTGGACTTTGCCTTCCCACTGGTCACAGACTGATTAAGAGTTCTTTCCTCAGGAAGTGAACTCCATCAGGGCTGACTCTCTGCTTTGACCATGCAGGACAGACGGACGCTGCAGTGCCAGAACATCGACATCAGCAGGCCCCTCAACACTCCAGCCGTCCCTCAGCCTCAGTCACCTCAGAGAGTGCTCCCACCTCTCTACCAGGCCCCACGTGTACCCAATGGCCCTGCCAGGCCCCTGCCTGCCAATCCGGCACTCAGGCAGGCCCAGGTATGCCTCCCATGCTGACTGGGTGGGATGCAGTTCAAATCCAGGCTCTGCTACTTGCTAACGTGTAAACTTGGGCAAATTGTTTAACATAGTGGCTGCATGACATGGAATTCAGTTAATCATATGGTTAATGGAGATAACTCACATACAGTGCTGTAGCCATAAGTTTTCTCCAGTCCCAACTAGCCCCGCAGTCCTGTGGCCACTTATAAAATAATCATTCAGAAGCTTATATTAATTACCAATTGTATGGCCTATGGCAGGCTTTTTGCTAGCTAGCTCTTATAACTTAACCCATTTCTATTCATCTATAAGTTGCCACGTGGTCGTGGTATTGCCGGTCTGCTGGCATCTTGCTGCTCCTGTGGCAGTGGCTTGCATCTCTCTAGACCCTGCCTTTCTCTTTCCTGTCTCTCTCCTTGGATTTCCCACCTGCCTCTAAGCTGCCTTGCCATAGGCCAAAACAGCTTATTTATTAACCAACAGGAACAACATATATTCACAGCACACAGAAAGACATCCCCCAGCACAGTGCCTAAGGTAATTTTTTTAAATATTCAGAATTGTTTCCATGCCCGCATAATTTATCATCTAAGCCAGGACTTAAAACTTTTTCTACTGTAAGTGCTTTTTACTTGCGGAATTTTTGTAGGACTCTGGGTATATAGGTAAGGAATGATAGGAAAATATTGAAAGTCTGTATTTCCTGTAACTAAGCCTTTGTTTCTAGGGGAGCAGAAAACCTTCTATTGTACAGTGGAAGCATGACAATTCCTATCAGTCTTGAATCTGAGATGAGGCATCCTTGGCAGTGTTTGTCAGTGGTACATGATATGATAGTTTGCACTGTATGTTCAGAACCAAGGCTACAGTGAAGTCATGGGATGCGACATGGGCGAGCGCTGCCAGACCACCACAGATTCAGTACACGTTTGGCTTTGAATTGGCTTTTGGTTGCTGTACGTTAAGTTAATGACTCACAGCTGAAGAAGCTGGGATTTCAACCATAATATTTTGAGAATGGTAATGGGTACTGTTGGCAACTTGCATAATGAAACAGTCATTTTTAAATGCTATTGTTTTATGTTCCTATGGTGTTGATTTTATATATTTATAATCATATCTTTAACATAATTCAGGGTATTCTCTATGCACATAGCTTTACAGCCTGTGTTTCTGCTTTAAAGTTGTTTGTATATACCTTGGCATTGCAGAGCCTGTAAAATGTTCTCTTTAGCAGCAGCATGCTGCTTGGATGTGGAAAAGTTTGTGAAGTACCTGTAAGTTAGTGGGTATGTTTGATAGCTGTGGGTTTTGCTTTATAAACAGTTATCATCTGGAAGATCTAGACAGGTACATTTTAGAGTTCCTTTAGAGAGGATTCAAGTGAAATATCAAATTGAAAACACAAATCTTTAAGTGGCTGGATGAAGTTCAATGTTCAGTTAGAGTATTACATATATTTAGGTTCTGATATTGATAGCAGCAAGGTCATGATGAGAAAGACAAAGATGAGTATTTCAAAGTTTTGCTTGTTTGATAAAATGGAACATCTCCATTTTCTTTCTGTTTAGTAGTTTAATCAGTTCCTGAGAGGTGGGGTTGCTGAAGTGGCCAAGGATAAATGTGCCTGAGCCCATCAGTTTTTGTTTCGCTTTAAACATTTCTTAGCATTTGAGGTTTATTTATCTAGGATGTTGTCTCCTCTGTGTAGCGGGTAGCTGTTCCAGCTTTGACCTGGATGTACTATCTCCAACGAGGTTTCCGGTAACTATCACACCTACCTATGGCCTGCCCCTGAGACGGGGCCAAGACGGGAGTCCTTAAGACCTGAGATCCGGATGTGCCAGCTCTCTTGGTTCCTGGTAATCCTGGATATTGGATGGTAGACCAAGCAGAGTTCTCCAGAGAACACCGCTGGACTGCACTTCACCTCTCCTGGACCCTGTAACCTATCCCTTTACTTGTTGTAAGTAGAACCTCCAAATAAACCTCCCTTTTAACTACGTGGAGTTGCCTTAATATTTTCCACCAATATTTGCACCCAACATGGGGCAAACTCCAAAGGCCTGGGTGGCTTCCACCCTCAGTCTCCTCTGTGGCTGCTGTGGCATGCTTTCCATACTTCCCTGCCAACATCATGCCGGTAGGATTTGCTGAAGGCAACTCCACATAGTTAAAAGGGAGGTTTATTTGGAGGTTCTACTTACAACAAGTAAAGTTACCGGAAACCTCATTGGAGATAGTACTTCCAGGTCAAAGCTGGAATAGTTACCCACTACACCTCTGCATTTTGAAATTTGGGGCTGGGTGTTATATAGGATTTCCTTGGTTTTTTGTGGGAGGCTCAGCAGCACTGACCTCTTTCAATCAGCAATAATGAAAACATGATTACAAGTGTTATTGTTATCTCCTGAGGGTCAAAATTTGCCTTGAGAAAAAGTACTCTCTGAAAATCAATCTGTCTTTGTACTACTATTTTATTGCTTCAGGAGAAATGCAGAATTCCCAGCTTTTAGATCTCATTGACCTCATTTTTAAATAACAGATGATTTAAAATCATGGCCTTTGAAGTTGGAAAAATGCCTCAGAGGTTAAGAACACTTACTGCTTTTGCAGAGGACCTGGGTTCAATTTCCAGAACCCACATGACTTCTGCAGGCTTACATGTGATGTGCACACACTTGGACACATGTATGCATGTAAAAATATTTTAAGTGGTCTTTATGGGCATCAAGAGCCACTTCAGATGGAATTTTTGCTTTCAGCAAAACAGACTTTTTAAAACCAATGAGGAGCTGATTATATGTGCTCCAATATTGATCCTTCCAGCTCTTCTCCCTTCCTGATGTTCTACATCCCATCATTTTCTTTCTGCCTGAAAGACTTCAGTTCACTGTTCTTTTAAGCAAGCCTATTGTTGGCATATTATCTTAGCATCCCTTTATCTAAGGATGTCTTTTTTTTATTCATGAAGGATATTTTTGCTGGGTATAGAAGTTTAGGTTGACTTTGCAGGGGGTGAGGGAGTCCTCCCATTTCATCTGGACTCTGCACTGATGAAAAATCCACCAAGAGCTGGGCAGAGGTGGCACACACCTTTAATCCTAGCACCCGGGAGGTAGAGGCAGGCAGGTTTCTCTGAGTCAGCCTGGTCTACAAAGTGAGTTCTAGGACAGGCTCCTAAGCTACACAGAGAAACCCTGTCTTGAAAAAAAAACAAAAAGAAATCCACCAAGAGTTCTTTCCACAGTCTCTGTTCCAAGAAAAGTGTCACTGATCTTTTTTTTTTTTTTTTTTTTTTTTTTGAGGAGGAGGAGGGTCTCGAGTTGAGCTGGACTAAAATCATATATGGTCAATTTTTTTTTCTGGACATCATTCTTCCCAGGCTTATCACCACAGAGGGGAGGCTTTCTTGAGTTTATTTTTATTTCTTTGGAGCCATTTAGTTATTTCCAGATTGTATAGACTTACATATTTTCTTGTTGTTCCTTTTATACATCCTGGCTGGGGCTCTAGCGTGCACCCATGTGCACACAGAAGGGTCCACCACTGGGTAGTTCCTTGAGTCCAGAGTTCTCCAGGTAGTCTTTTTCTTTAATTTTCAATTTCTGTCAATTGCTTGATGATCTTTTTGTTGCAAGCACCAAAAGGAATAAGGTAAGCTATGTTTATTCCATCTTGTCACAACCTAACTTCCTTTTTCTTTTATTGCCGATAACACTCAAACTAGTTCATATCTAGGAGCTCTTTGGCGGCGGGGGGAGCTTTCAGCTAATTTCTCTTCTGAAAACTTGTATCCTGGCCAGTTTCAAGCTATCGACATGTTACTGCACAAGGAGTCCAGAACTGGCCATCATGAGCTCATATCCATAAGCTCCATGGCACTGCCTTAGCAGTGCACTCTGTGAATTATCAGGTGCTGTCCATAGCTCCTTTTTAACTTCACTGTTGAGTCTTCTTTGCTGATGTAAATACAAGTTTCTTTTTCAAAGTAATTTCCATCCTTTGTTATAATTCTATCTTGACTTCTGGCATATCAGGAACTCTGGTTTTGAATATCAAATCAATGTAGCTTTCCTTTTGTGAATCTCTCATTCCTTGCATGCTCACAACACTCTCTTCATACTCACTACCAGTTAGGATCCTTAGATGTGTCTTCAGTTGGTTTTGTGGACTGCTGACAGTTCTCTCTTCCATTTGTTTTTTGTTTTGTTTTTTTGGCCTGCCTTGGTTTATCTTGCTGTAGGGCAACAGGCACATCCCAAACGTATCTAGGCTGTGGACTTACTTGAGAATCTGACAGGAGCTGTGAACCCCAGGATATGCACCAATGCTCAGTGCCTTGCACACATACTTCGGGTACTCCCAGAGCCTGTAAACATCCACCCAGTGGATTCCCTCATGTTGAGGCTTCTTAGTCCTTTTTAGCAATGCCACCTCTGTACAGTGCCAAACTGGGACTAATAGGCCATGTGATCCAGGAGGAGTTGTGCACAGTAATTTATGCCCACAGAACTGGCTCCTCCAAAGCAGCCACCCTAAAAGCTGCCTTTTTGTGAACCTAAGGAAGTCATCTCATTTAGCCACCAGTTACTGAAAACTCCACATTCTGACTCTGAACTATGTCTGGAGCCTTTCGGAGACATGTGGCACAAATAACTGCATGATTTCCCTCTCGTCACACATAGGGACCTGGAATCCATTCCGTGCAGGTGTGGGCAGTATCTAGAGGTGACTCTCACTTGGCAGCAAGAATTGGATCCACTGACACTTTACAGTTCCCTGGGTATCATCCCACATGACATGGCACAGATGTGCCTGCATGGCTAACCCTGTAGTGCTTGTCCAAATTTATCACAGATACACTCCAGGAGTGGGGTACCATCATGAGAGTTACATTGGTTAACCTTACATTTGACGGCTAAGTGTTGTCTTTCTAGAAAACATCTCATCCTCCATAAACTCAACTCATTCTCTTGTCCACAAATGTGCCTCTTGGAATGTGAGCTTCTATTCCTATGCTCAGTCCTTGAATTGTACCTTCTTGTACATGCTGTGTGCACACATGTGGCAATCAGAACAGCCTTCAAGGACTACTTGTCTTTCCACCTTGCTGAGGCATGTGGTTTTGACAGTAGGGTGAGTCTCTTTTCGCAGGTGTGCTATGGTTACATATGTGCACTAACTCCTCAGGATTTTTTACGTGAGTCCTAGGAATTCAAACTCAGGTCCTTACACTTGAGTGGCCATCACTTCACCTACTGAGTCATGGCCATAGCCTTACAGTGTGCCCAGTGTTACTCCTGGAGGAAAGAGACCAGAGACAAGGCCCATGACAGGGAGAATCCCCGGTCTCCCAAGACACCCCAGCTGAAACCCATTGTTCAGACAAGTCTCATTTACTGGGTTAATTGCATCACTTACAATTTAAATAAAACATACTCCATGTCCCAGAAAAGAAATACATTTCTTAGCTCACAGAAAATTGTGTGTCAAGGAGACAGGGCTAAGTCATGACAGATCTACAGTTTTCTACTGTTAGACTTGATGGGATTGGGTCCTCCAAGGATCTGAGTGTTGTCTTCATCAGTGGCCATTCTCCTAATAAGCTGAACCTCACCTGGGTGCCATTGGCCCAGTACTTACCTAAATTTGCTTTGCTAAACATCTGTCCCATAGAATGATGCCTGCTGATGTGTGGGCACACTTGATTTAAGGATCCATTTTGCTTTACTTCCTAGCATTTTCCAGGAAATTAGGTTATTTAAAGTCTTCTCAGCAAATCACAGAAGTGAACTAAGGGCAGAGAGTATGCCCCCAGGTGCGTTAGAGAAGCAGGGACTTTTAAAAATTAAACCCATCATTTGTGGAAGATTTATTTTTACTGCATCATGCTCCTTTCTTGAAGAAAATGCTGCCATGTCCAAGAGAATTATCAGTCCTGGTTTATGCAACATTTACCCACACTGCAGAAATTTCAGCCAAAGAGCAATGGCAGGATTCACTGTCATTGTTCTATTTACCACCAAATTGTGTGTGTGTGTGTGTGTGTGTGTGTGTGTGTGTGTGTGTGTGTGTACACTCAAGTGTGCATGTTGTTTTGGTACAAGGAGCCTGTGGTTGTGCTTTGAATGGTTATAAAATCGTTCAAACACACACTGAGCACTAAATACGTGGCAGGTACCACAGAGCTGAGTGTTTGGCAGGTGTTTCTGTCCCCTGGGAGGTGAGAGAGGCTGCTACCTTACACTCCAGTTTATGGAGGTAACAGAGCACAGTTAAGGCTGCATATTCCATGAACAAGGAAGTAAAGGTAGTGTCTTAGGGTTTCTATTGCTGTGAAGAGACATCAGGACCATGGCAACTCTTATAAAGAAAAAACATTTAATTAGAGTGGCTTACATTTTCAGAGGTTTAGTCGATCATCATGGTGGGACATGGTGCTGGAGAAGGAGCTGAGAGTGAGTCCTACTTCTTGACTCACAGGCAACAGGAAGTGGTCTGAGTGTCACAGTGAGTGAAACAAGCAAAGGAGACCTCAAAGCCCACACCCACAAGGACACACTTCCTCCAATAAGACGACACCTCCTAATAATGACATTGCCCATGAGCGGATGGGGTCAATTATATTTAAACTACCACAGAGGAAAGTCAAGGGCTCAAACCCACCTGCTTCACCTGCAGCATTGAGATGCACTCCGCAGTCAGTATAGTGTGCATTTTTGTCTTGACAGCTCTTAACCTGATGCCTCTCTTTACAGAGCACCAGAGCTTTGCTGCAGAGAGGTTGGGGAGAGAATGTCATCCCATTAAGCCAGGGCATCTGGTTTCCACCCAAAGGTCTCGACTTGATTTCTGGGTTACTCTCTGCAGACAGGAATCCAGACTCAGGTTTTCTTAAGGAGTCAGATGTCTACACCTTCTTTCAGTCTCCTCCTTCCTTCTCCTGGCACTGTGTTTTGATTCAATAATATCTTACTCATACAGCTATCCAGTTTTTTTGGGTTATTTTTAAAGGGAAATTTGGAAGTATTCATTTTATCTAATCATTGGAGAAAGGGAGGGCACAGTGGCCCTCCCTGCCATGTTTCTGGCTAAGGAAGACCCACTAGTATGGCAGCTTTGGTCAGTTCCATGATGCCTACATCACTGTGGTGGTAATAGTTACAATCTTGGCTATGGTCATAATTTCCACAATATTTTTAGCCAGAGACAGACTCACTCATTACAGTGAAATGTGTTAATGTCACACTAGGACCTTGGTGGTAACTCTGGCTTTCTGTGGTGACAGGCTCCAGTCTTCCTGCACAGAACCCTCAGATAGCAGGACATACTTGCTGTTGTAGATTATGTGCAAGCTGGTAACAGGATGATGGTCAAGGCAACAGGGTTATATTTTGATTTTGGCATGTTTGCTTTCAAAGTTGAGAGAGAGGAGGGGAGGGAGGGAGAGAACGTCACAACGCATTGCTATTGCTAGAACACAGGTGGGAAGTAGAGGTCCAGGATCCCACGTGACGGGTAGAGTGGTACTTTTCTCCAGGGCCTAAGGGAAAAGGAATGTTTGAATTTTGTTGAAAATACAAACTGAAGAAAAATGTACCTGCGTTGCACCCCCTGGAGCTCTTTCTTAACTCCTGCAGAGGGAGCTGCATTTTACAAAGGCTCGACACCTCATATTCAACCATCTAGGCTAGATCATGTCCTGACCATGGCAAAGGGGGTTAGATGGGTCCTTTGCTGTCCCCAGGGCTCAAGAACTTTCGGCATCATGGCTGTTTGGAGTTTTATCACAGGGATAAACACACCATTTGTCCTCAAAGCTGAGAGCCATCTGAGAGAATGTGATGAATAATGAGACTGTGAGCACAAATTGAGACTATCTCAGGCAAGCCATAATTATCTTCTGAGTTTCCATGATAAATCCAAATGTGCTAACACAGACTGTAACATACACATAGCCTTTTCTTCCACACACCAATAAAACCCTGCTGTTATCTTTCCTGCAGATACTGGAAACTTAGTCATATTTAGCAGCAAAATTAGTATTGCTTTGTAAGGAATGATTCCATAACCTGAGCCTCCTCATGTTGAGTATGTGCTTTCATTTTTATATTACACATGGACATTGTGCTTGTAGTTTTCTGTTCCGTGTTAAGAAATGGAGCTTGATTTGTGTGTGGCCTCATTACCCAGGGCTTGTTGCTAGGGTGAAATCGCTGTCAATCAGAGCTGTCAAACAGCAGCAGCTCTTATCCATGGGTGAATGCATGCCAGGCCCTGGGCTAAGAGCTTTACTGTGTCAGTCCTCGGACCAACCCTGAGGGAGGGCTGGTATCTCTGCACATGCCCAAAGCTCAGGGCCTGAGTGTGTACAGCCGGTGTGGTCCTTACACCTACCCAGGGTGGGTGTCTGTATTCCAGAGCCTTCTCGTGTTTCCTCTGATGAAATCTGATAGAGACGTGTCACCTGTATGTCTGGCCCCTGTTCAGCGGCTCTTTTCGAACCCAGTCTGTCTAATGTTCATTCTTGGCACATCTCCCACACAGCTGTGCTTTACTGACTTCTGTAGTAGCCCCATCATTTTGCAGGGAGCTGTTGGACGGGGAATCTGGTGTTGCATCCTCTGAGCTGTAGTCTGTGGCTCAGGAGATCCGGCTTTAGTACAAGCCCTGTGAAAACATCACAAGCACTTGAAGTAATGCTTGGGTCCTACTGGACCCATGGCCTACCGAGTCCTGAGACAGTGCAGGTTTTGGGTGGGTTTTGCTGTGTATCCTCCATGGCTGGCACTAGAGGTGTGCCCCACCATGCCTAGTCATGAAAGTGCACCAGCTCCTTTAATTGTCAGGGCCTCCTGTAGGAGCTGCTAACTCTGTTCCCTGCAATGATGAGGCCAAGAATGGAAAGTATCGTGCTGACCAGACCTACCCTGGGCCTCAGGAGAGTGTGTCCAGCACTTGCTGACTGGCCCTCTCCAGGGGCAGAGAGGAAGGTACTCCAGGAGGAGGCTTAAGAGTTCTTGTGTTTCCATTAAGCATTTAAAGCTGCCACGTGAATACCTGCTGGAATCATTATTATCTATGTGCTGGGAACATCTTACATGTTCTTTTATTTAAGCCTCATAACAGGGCTATGAGATAGATTGCTCCATTTTCCAGAGAGGTAGACTTGAGTGAGTCCCAGATCAGTGGCCTTTGGATGTAACTCAATGGAGACTAACCTTCAAGTTCTCACTGTGACCCCTTGGCCAGCAGTGCATCACCCCGTAGTGTCTTCCCCAATCTTTAACTGTCTCACAAGTCACTGCATGGCTCCTTTCCACAAGTAGTTGGGCTGCTTGGTACAACATGCTGCACTATCTGTTTCGGATCCTGACCCCAGGAGAAAGACGGCTGTCTTCTGGATCCTGTGCATCCAGTTTAGCCAGTCCTTTGTAAACTGGAGATTGTCTGAAGGCATGGGTAGATTTATATCCATCCTTTGGGGTACTGATAGATGACCCACATTTGAGTGTACCTGTGTGATTCTTTTTAATGGTACAGAAAAGTCCACGTGAAGGCTAACGACAGGCTGTCCTTAGTATTGAAGAAGGGTTGTGCATCAGAGATGAGGCCAGGGCTGTGTAGCAATGTGCACTGCCTTCCAGAAGACTGCTGGGTCCCAGGGTCCAGTTCTGGCCACAGAGTTGAGGAGTCACATGTGACCTCTTGTCTGTTGCAGGGCAGCCGCAAGCCCAGCCCTCCTCAGAAGCCTCTGCCTGCTGATCCATTGAGCAGGACATCTCGGCTCACTAGTGCCTTATTGAGGACCCCAGGGCAGCAGGAGCCTGGGCTCCGCCCAGCCCCAAACAGGTGGGTGTTCCCTAATGGTGTAGGGTAGCTGAAGGAACCATACTGGAAGGCAGATATCAGGCGTTAAGCCATGTTTCCTACTTGCCCGCAAGTTGGGAAGGATGGGAGATATGTATAAAAGTAACCAGGAAGCAGTTGATGCTAACTATACCTATGCATACCTAAACATCACCCTGGGCTCTCAGCAATGGCTCAGTTATTTGAGAGATCATAGCAAGATGACCCAGGAAAGATGAGCTGCCGCTGAAGGCCCAGCCTGGTCTCCTGCAGGCACTAAGGAAAATGGAATATCTGTATGAAGGCAGGACCTCCCTCACCAAGACCTTCTCTCCCTACTCCAGGGGCTGAGACACTAGTTCAGGTTGGGAGACTATGGAGAAATGAAGCCTAAGCAGCTGCTCTCTAGGGTCACCTGGGGGCTTCTCTGCAGCTGAGTGAGTGACCTGTGCAGGCTCTCTCTGGTTGTGGTCATTTCCACCCTCCCCCACAGGAGCTGAGGCAGATGTAGCCCAAACTCTACTTACACAGGGAAAGGGAACCCACAGCTGGGCTGAAGCTGGCTCGTGCCTTTGCAACCCAGCCAATATTAAATAGTAAAGTATATCAAGTTGCATTTAAAACAAGGGTAATAAATACTCAAAACACTGCTCCCGGATACTTGCTGCTGAGGTTACTCACATCAGGTATCTCTATGGTGGAATCCATGGCATGCTGTGTGCCCTCCCATCTTCCACCTCTGCTGGTACCACGGTGTAGCTGGGAACATTGACAACATGGAAATTAGCAAATGCTGCAGCTCATCCTCATCCTCGGTGAAATCATTCCCATGTGGGTTTTTTGTTGTTGTTTTTCCTCTGTTCTTGGGCTAGAACATACTCGGCAAGTGCTACATATCCCCAGCCTCCATTTCCCTCATAGCCCAGGCTGACCTGAGCCTCCTGGTCCTTCACCCTCCTTTGTGATGGGAAGGAGCCACCAGGCCTAGCTTGCAGATTGTTAAACTCACAACCCACTCTTCTGACTCACATGCCCTTTAGCAGGCCATGAGCGCTCTAAGCACCAGAGAACCAAAGGTTCTTCTGACTGTTGGCCAGGCTGCATGCTTAGTAACTCGCATCTCTGCAGGGGAAGATACACATCAGATTCATTACAACTCTTGGGAAGAATGTTGGCCTAGGAAAGAAATGGCTGCCTCATAAATCTCAGAGATAATGCTGGTCAGAGGGTCAGGAGAACCATCTAGTTCACCATTGTGGAAATGCAGAAAAGGTTGCATAGCATTTGAGTAACTTTTTATATTCTACTAGATAAAACTACTACATGGATATAATAGGGCTGACAGGAGGAGCACTCAGAATGCTCCTAAGCAATGCTCTGTCTAACCTCTAACTGATGGCAGCCTGGCTCTCCATCTCTTGAGCTGTGCAATGTAATCAAGTAGCCACTGGGTTATGTTGGAGCTGGTTAAAAATAAAATTGAGCCGGGCGGTGGTGGCGCACGCCTTTAATCCCAGCACTCCGGAGGCAGAGCCAGGCGGATCTCTGTGAGTTCAAGGCCAGCCTGGGCTACCAAGTGAGTCCCAGGAAAGGCGCAAAGCTACACAGAGAAACCCTGTCTCAAAAAACCAAAAAAAATAAATAAATAAAATAAAATTGAAATAAATGAAAGTGTAAACATGTGCCAGATTTTGAACACTTAATCCTGCCCCTGTCGATTCTCCCAGTACTCACATTGGGTGACTCACAACTATCTGTAATTGTTATCATTTCCAACATCCTCCCAGCTGCTTCTAGAGTCCCATGGCCATGCATGCACTGTCAGCATATAGGCAAAATGCCTCGTCACCCCACGGTCTTACGTCCTACATAATCTGTGCACAGCGTGACCATGTAATCTATGCACATGCATGCATGGTGTGGCTATGTAAGCCCCTGTACACATTCTCAAGGTTATCCTTAAAAGCCGACTCTGCCCATTCCTTGCCCCCTTCAGCCACAATTTCTCCCTCCAGCGGGCCTGCAGCACTTGCCCCTTTCATATCCCCCTAATAAAACTCTTAAAGTGGGTTTTGTTGTATCTTGTGGTCCATTCTCGCACCCAGTAAATGACAGTAACAGCTCCAGGGGGATCAGAAGCACCCACTTCTGGCCTCCACAGGCACCTGCACTTATATGCAGAGACATACAGATAAATAAAAACTAGAAATTACCTGAGCGATTCATGTCCATTTTTCTGCAAATGGTGCTGTTCTAGAATCAACTCATGGATGGGAGGCACAGCTCCAGAGAGGGGAGGTGACCTGTCATAAATCAGTAGAAGTTCTGCAGTGAGGTCCTTTATATGATCTGCATTCTCTCGCAAAAGCTAGCCTGGCCTCCGATCTCAGGAGGCGGGAGTGGGTGACTCACCAGCGTACAGGAGCAGACTCCTTCCAAGTTTGTGTGTCTATAGCATGACTTCTGAGAGTGTGACTGCGGTTTTGTTTTCTCTCTGGCTTGCTCTTGATTCAGACCTGCTCCTAAGCATCAAGGGCCCAGATCTTCCCACAATGCCTACATCAAGTGACAAGCAAGCCCAGACTGGTCCTCAACAGTGAAGACACAAGTTTGCACTATTGTCAACTCCATCGGAGTGATTTTTTTTTTTTTGTACCAACTTGCAGAATTTTTAAAGTGTTTCAAACGCCGTTGTTTCCAGAACTTTGAGCTGCTGCCGTCGGTGCTGTGCTGTGGTGCTTTGTGTCCTTGCTCAGGTACTTGTAAGTTATTAATTTATGCAAAGTGTCTATTACTGCGCAGGGCGCCGTAGCAGGCATTTGTTCCATCACGGGGGTTTCTACAGAAGGCTCCTTGTGCTTTTCTTCTTCTGGCGGACTTGAAATATCCTGCTTGATGGGATCCAAGACGAGATGTTTACTTTCTGTTCGAGGCCTTATTGGAAAACAGCTCCCCAGCTCCCCAAGGCTGTGTTATAGCACCAGACACACAGCTCAGGAGACCCCAAGCGGAACCTGGAATGGGTTTTTTGTTTTTATTTTTTTGGAATCCCGATCTTGGGCTGTAGCCAGGGCCTTCAGGAAGGTCTTGGGCTCGGCATACTGACAAGGCTTCAGGCCCTGCACCCTGAGGCTCTCAGACAACTGGTAGTATCTGGTTCTGGCCAGCAGCTTTGGAGAAAACCTGGGATGCAAGCAAGAAGGTTGAGGTGTGGCCACACCGGAATAGAGACTGGAACCCTAGTCCAGGCAGACATTTGACCTTGAGCTGAGCAGCTGTGAACACCTTTGGAGGGCAAAGAAGTCTGTGGTGCTATACGAGGCTTTGCTCCCAGAGCGGGAGGAGTCTCTCTCTGGGTGCCCTCTTGCAGAGGGCTGGCATGGGCGTGTTGTTTACATTGGGAACGGTGGTGTTTCTGCAGGAAAGCCACTGGCCAGGCACTGCAGAGCCCTGTCTCCTGCCCCCTTTAGAGCTAAGCAAATTACCACATTGTCTTCTTGACTGTCAGACAATGACCCTGTGTTCTGACAGATAGAGGAGGCTTTCTATGGGACCATAAACATTTTCAGATGTGAACTGGTAACCAGAGCTAGCCGATCAACCCTGGAGATCAAACTCTCCTTCTTACTGCAAGGCTCAGCTTATTAAAAATTAGGTAGAATCCATATGCTTGCAAAAGTTATAACCACATGGAATGCTATTCTCATTGTACAGCCTATGTCTGCTGTCCTTATTAGTAGTCATTGGACAAAGAACCCAAAGTCACCTGTCTGCTCCCTTCAGGGCATCCTGGTCTCTTCAGCATAGTCTCAGTCTTTCCCACACTAGGAACATACCTGTTAGTGTATCATAAGATGACAAAGAAATCAGTTCCCTAATGCTGAAGGCTCGTGAAAGGAAGACCCAACCAGGCAACCCTTCCATCTTTTATTCTTCTGATGTCTGGAAAGCCACCTTCAGGAGCAGATCTTTAAGATGCCTCAACCTAATGTTATGAAAGATACATTTTTAAAAAAAATCATGTAAGGCAAAGTGCCAGAGGCCTTCACTGTGTCCTGGCAGAGTGTTGGGATGACCAGCGTTCACAATAGAAGGTAACTGAGGTTCTGTAACGTCTGAGTATTTTAGAATCAGGCTTCTTTGGAAGGGTCATATCAATGACTGGCCTATACCTTGAAGCAGAAGGGGAAATATAGGCTTAGAATTTGGTTTTCTTTCCAGAGTTCAAAACTGTATTCAGCTTTGGGAAACATGGCCTTCATGATGGTGGATAAATAAATCCACATCACAGATACATAAAAGAACTCTCATAGCCTGCCTCTTTTCATGGCATGGTGACCATTTTGCTGCCACCAGAATTGTTTTAACTGATGTGATATTGAGTAGTTGTATTAAGGCCAGACACACACAACTGGAAAAGTTACAGAGCTGTGTGAGCATTGTCTTTGGAGACACTCAAAGCTCTAGCTGGGGCATGTAAGCCCATTTTGGGTGGGAGTGAGGGGGAAGCTAGGAACCCATATTTCTTCTGTCATTTCTGTACCTTGGTTTTGGAGGATCAGGGAGAGTTTGGCTTAAATGAAGTGGGAACTGTGATCTTCTGCCATCTCCCCAGTGGCTGCCAAGGGTGCCAGTGGTGCCTTCTCAGCTGAGCTGTGATGGCTGCTTGCTTTTCCAGAACCAGCATCCATTTCTGAATAAGAATATATTTAATCCTGATATCCCTTACAGGACAGACAGTATTATTAAAGGAATACCTCTAAGATATAGTAGTTATCAAATGAAGCATGTTTAGCAACAACCTCAATTTTAACAAAACTTAGGAACCAATAACTAGCATTGAGGTTTTTTGAAAGAGAGTAGTTTTTCTCTCCCTTTCTACATCCTTTACATGACAGAGACCAAAGTTAATACTCACGGTTCAATTGCAGCCCATCTTATGTTTAAACACACTATAGACATGATTAGAGTTGGTTGAGTTTCGTGAGACCATCCCCGAGAAGGTCCAGGAAAGTGGTCCAGTGCCTAGACACGAGGCATGGCTGGATGTTCTCATTTCCTTCCTGTATCAAGGAATAGTTAGAGGTGATGTGACCCCACTTTCCAGGCAGGTGAACTTCGCAGGCATTCCATATAAAAGCTGGTCACCTACAGTATTCCCAAGTCTGTTTTCCCAGCACATGGACTCAGATGAAGAGCAACAGTACAGTTTTCCATTTCAAAATATGCATGCCGGGTTCGCACTCTCTGTGAGTGTTCCCAGCTTACACATGTGGAATGACATCACAGAAACCACACAAGCAACAAATTAAACTCCACGGGAAGAAATATTCCCGACTGGTCTCTGAGGAGGCGTTTTTATGCCTTCTTAACTTTATTAGGAATTCTCAGGCTGAAGCTATGGGTCATTGTTCTCCAGCAAATCAATACAACCCATCAATGCATTCCCTAAGAACTGCCAAACCCTGATCTGTGTTTGAATGTTCTTAGGAGCCTGTGATCCCCACGGTGCTACAAAGAGGTTGGAGCTGGGCCAATGGGAAGGCCTGAGCATCCTCCTGCCTCTCAGCAGATGTTTACTGAGCACTCTGAGCCAGCGCCACCCTGACACCCAGGAGGACAATGGCTGGGCAGGAGGGCGCCTGGCCACTTGCAGCTCTTTCCTCCGAGGCTTGCTTCACGTTTGAATTCTCTTAGATCCGGCCCCAGCCCGGGGACACTGTCTACAGATCCTCCCCCACCATTCTCAAATGGCCTCAGTCATACACAAATGACCCAGACTAAGAGACACCAGCAGTCCCAGAAGCTCCCCAGAACTGAAAGCAGGGTGTTTTGAGCAGTGTGGCAAGTGAGGGAGGATACTACAGAGGCCATTTTTTCTGTCTCTTCCACTCATACTGGAAGCTAGCCCTCCACTCCCAGTTTTGCCACACAACTCCATCACACCGAGTACACAGGAAAACATAGGCACCAGTTTGCCTTTCTCTCTTGCCAATCACAAATGCCTTATTCTGGCCCGACCCCATGCCAAAGTCTCTCTCATCCGAGAGAGCCACGCTCTGCCTTTGTCACTACTTCATGCCGAAGTGGCAACTGTTACGGGGTGTGGCTACCCTTCAAGGTTCACCTATTAGACAGTACAGTCCAACCTTCTCCAGGGCCATAGTACAGAGCAACCCCCCAGCACACACCAGCCTTGAACCTATCCCACAGCATGTCAACCACAGTGACCTCCCTCCTAATGCCTTGCTCTGATTAGAAGGTGAAGTTGGACATCGAAAATCAAGTTAGCACTGACGGCAAAATGCTGTTGCTGCAACCTGATCTCTTGCTTTTCAACTCTGATGAAGTAATTCTCCCAGATCTGTGAGCCCCATGCTCAGAACCACCGGGCAGTGGGGACCCTTGCAGGAGACATTTGCACAGACATGAATGTACCATTTCCGTGCCTTTTGTGGAGAACAACATACATACATATATACATACACACACACACACACATGGGAAAGTAATAGCCCTTTATTATCAAACCACTGCAAGCTTCTCTCATATGAGAGAAACTAGGAACAGAAACGCCGCATGTGGACTTGTTGGGATGCTCAATAATGGATGAGATTGCCAGAAGGCCTAAAACTCAAGAGTCATTTTCAGCTGGAAAATGATTTGGGCCTCTGCAAGTTGAGAGCCCCACCACCTGCCTACTTTCAAAGAGCATGTTCTGTGATATCTGTAATTCTCCAAGAAGGTAACATTCTAGTCCTTAATTTAGTACATTTAAATTGAGACAGATTCAGTATCATGTGACTTCTTTTACAAACAAGTCAAATGCTGGTTTGCCTTCCTTGGCCTGTATGTTGGTACTTCATACGGCAGTGGCCAGAAAACATACACGCACACAAATGTCATGAGACTCCAAGGCAGGACCCTTAGAACTAAAATTCCTATCTGGGCAACATGGTAGTGATTGGGAAGCCAACCATCTCGATGTTTGTGGCAGCAAGCAAGATAGCTCTAACTGGCCACAAGCTGCTTAGCTCCTTTCTGATTAACATTACATCTCGGTCAACCTGCAGAGTCATTCTGCAGGGCTTCATCCATTGATAGCGCTTTGATAAACTCATGTTTTCACATTTGTATGTTACATGCTGTTATTGTTGTACGCATTTCTCATATGGAGGATCTACAAGTAAATACAGCCTACTAGTTCAGTAGAAAATGTCATTGTTAAGAATATTATATCCAATAAACAGTAAACAGATAAACATTGGATGTCTCGTTTGTTATTCAGAAGATTATTGATACAAAAATAAAGGGATGGTCTTGTGTAGAAAAACATGTTTTCATGCATTTATAAATGTAAGGGCATCTTGGAGCATTGGACAAACAGCTGAGGAGAAGTGTGGAAGGGTCAAGGTATTCATGTTGCCAGTCCTGGGAACAAAGACGAGAGAAAATGCCTGTCAAAACAGCACTGGTGAGACAGTGGGGAACCGATACCATTCTGAACAATGTGAATTCATAACCCATCAAAATCATTTTAAAACTTCATATTACTTATAGAAAAGTTCAAAAAGTAAGCAGTCATAGGAGTATCAGATTATCAGCAAAGAAAATCTAAATGATTGACATACACTTACACATTTTTAAAATAGCATCCAACTTCATAAAACTGCAGAAAATAATATATATATATTCAAAATTATAGCAAAAATAAAGGAATCTCTGTTATTACTACTTAACCCAAGACAAAGCGAGTAGGTTTTATGACGTCACCAGGTGACTAACAAATCAAATTCACACACACACACACAGGCCTTCCAAATGCACAGCATCTGACCTCTGCCCTAGTGCCTCTCAGGATCAAAGAGTCAACAAACAAACAAAAGCCAACAAAACAACTGTATGCCCGAGCAATGTAGGAATTCTTCAGCCACCTGGAGAACAGCAAATGTAACACTGGAAATAATGTCTATACTATGGGATATTTTTCAAATTCCCAGAATTAGAAGCATTTACCTATTGTGCTTGTTAAAATCTACTCCTCTGCCCTGTCTCTGATAATCCAGTTCAGAAGGTCTGAAAGAAACCCACAAAGGTGACTAACAGGTGACCCCATAGTGTCTTAGGATCGGGAAGGTTCAGTGAAAGAAAGCCTTATGATACTAGAACAAAGTTTTCCCCAGGGGAAAACTCAGAGGCCTAAATACATAAATTACTAAACAAAAGAGTTGAGACAAAGTGAGCTCGATTTCTATAAAAGGAACAACAAAAAGCCTTGCATAAAAATAAATAATAAATTTATAAAAATAAAGCATGTAATTTAATGAGTTAGAAAAACAGCACCATGAGTTACTTGGGGGATAAAATAAGCAGGCTGCAAACCACCTTCTAATCATCAGGCAAATGCATGGCAAATAATGTGGCTTTTGAGCATGCAGACCCAGCTGTCCTCCAGAACCCAGGGCGACCATCTCAGGAATGTAGGCATGGTTCAGTAGTAAGGCCAGACAGTTGACAATGTCGCCAAGCTTGATGCTGGCAAGGAAGGATGTGAGATGTACTCCTTCCCCATGGAGGGGCTGGTGAATGCCATCTCCATCAGACCCAGAGAGGACTGTAAGGTGGGTGTCAATGCTGATCACCAACAAAGCAGAAGATAAGCCTTTATAGAAAGATAAAGTGCCATTGCAACGTCTACAGGCAGGATTACACACAGCCCACAGAGCAGTCCTCAGCTGAATGCTCTATGACCTCTGCAGAGAAGGCTGACAGCTGATAGCTGTTCACATCTGCATCAATGTGTGGCTGCGCTCTCTGTGGCTTCCCTAGTGCTAAACCTTGGTTACCTTCTCATGGGCCTTCCCTAGCTAAAAAAAAAAAAGAATAGTCCACTCCTGTGAGGGCCTTTATAGCTGCTTTACTAGAAGGCCCTCAGTTTGTCCCAAGAGACATAAAATGCATGTGGTGTCTCTAACTTTGCTCGCTTTTGAGCTTGGCCTACCTAAAGCTTCCCACATTTCTCTCTTTGGACTCCTAACCAACGGTCTTGGTGGTGGTTGGCCCCTCTTTGTCTACAAACTATACAATTTGCCTCAAAAATCTTGTCTGCTCTCTACACTAAATGCAATACACGACTCATTGCTGAAGCTGTCCAGGCACCTGTGGGCTGGGACCTTTGACCGAAGAGGTGAGTGTGTGCAAACACATGAACTGATGGACCTGTCCTCCCAGCACTGTCCTTCGACTCAACACTGCTAACAGACAGCACCGTCTTCAGATATATATTCTGGAGCTTTGATGTGAGGCCAAGAGCCTAAGAGAAAGCGCCTGGGTGCTTAGGAGGCACCCCGCTGCGGGAGGCGACAGCAGCCTGGACGGCTGTGGTGTGGGAGAGATAATAAGAAACACATGAGAAGAAGAAGGCCAGTAGGCCTGGAGCATCCTGAGGACAGCTGGGGGGGGGCGGGAGTGGACACCCGCGTGCGCATTTGTGGAGCACCAGCACATAAATATTTGGTTTCATGTCTAACTGCAAAGGCACAGGGCAAGGAAACATTCCAGTTCTGTAGACGCCCAGTGAGGAGACCACATATGCATGTGCTTAGGTAAAAAGATGTATTTCAATGTGGGAAGAGTTGCCTGTTACATAAAAGTCACTGTGAATCTCCAACTAAATAAATAAACGTCTCATCCTCAGAGACTCGGCACATCACATGTCTGGCCCAGCAGTCAGGGTTTGCTGTTTTGCTCTGGTCGGTCTCTCAGACGGGTGACGCTCCAGTCAGTGGACAGAGGACTTCCTCGGCAGCTTTTTTTTCCTTTCTTCTAATAAGGAGAGTACATTCTAGAAAAACCACAACAAACAGGTAGATGTCCTTGGAGGTCTGGGCAGGTTCTGTGAGTCTGAAAGAACTATAAAAGTCAGCTTTGGTAGGCAGGAGGGAGGTCCTCACCTGTCTGTCAAAAACTCTGGCCATTTCTAGGACACCTTTGCCAAACTGGAAGGAAGCAGAACTTAATTACAGATTGGAGTGTGCGAGTCTCATGCATGTCTTTCTTCTCTAAGGGAGATCTCCCAATAAACATTACCTCATTTTTCACACTTGCATCGGCCCCTTTGTCAAGAAGTAACTGAACTAGCTGTTCGTGATTGTTTAAGACAGCGATCTGGAAACAGAAAAGTATGGCGTGAGGAGCACTCCCCTCCAGCACAAGCTCAGGTAGCTCCTCACAAGGCAGCCCTGGGCCAGGCCACTGCCCACTGCACCTCCGCTCTGGCCTGCCTCCTGCTGACTGTTCAGTGGCAAAGGGGAAAAAAATGTTTCTTCCCTCTGTCCACACTGAAATGACACAAGACAGCCCAGGGCAGAAAAGCAGCAAATTCATTGTTTAAACAGGTCTACTTTGATCCCACAATGGCCCTGGGAACTGGGGTTGAGAGTCCTTAGAAGTACTTGGGGGGAGGGGGGGATGGACAAAATAATATAGTGGGGCACAGGACAGTGCTTACTCAGAGGCTCAAGTGGACCCTAGGACCCAGAAGTTTGAGGCTGGCATGGGCAATATGATAAGTCCCATTTAAATATAATAGTGACCACCCCCCACCCCCGATTGTTAATGGATAAGTAATATTATGCAACCAAACCCAGGGTTCGGTTATAAACAGCTTAACTCTCAAGCCCTGTTTAGTGGTAATAAAAACTGAGACCCCGGGAGAAGGGCATACCATGAGAGGCGTCTTTCCATCTTTGTCCCTCATATTCACGTCAGCCCCAGCCTCGATGAGAAGTGAAGCTACGTTCTGGCTTCCCGTCACAGCAGAGACTCTCATGAGCGGCGTCCATCCTGAACCAGTGTCCACAACATCTACCTATGTTACCAAAGGGACAACTGCCTCAGTTCAACCACTTCTTCCTGTGGCATCGTTGGGCAGACATACAGAGGGGGTGTGCACTTCCCCAGGCTCCCTGATTTTCTAGACCTGGGGTGAGCTAGCTGAATTCATGTCTGTGTTCGGGGAGGGGATATACTGAATCTCATAGGGGGTCCCCCTCTGCTGAGACAGCTCAAGGACCCCCTACTGGAATACTCATCTTCACTGTTAAAATGGAAACAAGACAGGCTAGGAAGGGACCCAACTATACCTCATACTGGGCCCATCTGCTTTCCTTAGCTGTAGTTTTTAATTATTTTAAAATTTTAGTTTTATTTTCTATGTGTGGGTGTTTGGCCTGTATGTTCTATCTGTGCACCTTATGCATGCAGTGGCCACGGAGGCCAGGAGAGGGCATCAGAACCCCTGAAGCTGAGTTACAGACAGCTGTAAGCCATCATGGGGGTGCTGGTAATCAAACCCAGGTCCCCTGGAAGAACAGCCAGTGCCCTTAACCACTGAACCATCTCTCCAGCTCCGCGGATGTAATTTCACTAGTGTTTATTTTTTTTTTTTTTTTTTTTTTTGCTTTCTTAATTTGAGACAGTCTCACTATGTAGACCAGGCAGCCTCAAACTCAGAAATCCATCTCCACAGCAGAGAGAGAGAGAGAGAGAGAGAGAGAGAGAGAGAGAGAGAGAGAGAGAGGGAGAGGGAGAGAGGGAGAGAGGGAAGGAGGGAGGGAAAGAGGGAGAGAAAGAGAGGAAGGGAGAGAGAGAGAGAGAGGGAGAGAGAGAAAGAGGGAGAGGGAGAGAGAGAGAGAGAGACTGAGACCAAGAATAACTTTGAAAGCTACTAGAAGCAGCTAGACCTGTGCACATCTCTGCATCTCCAGCATGTAGCAGGTGCTCAGGAAGGTGTCATTGACCAACTAAACAGACACCAGCAGTGAATGAAGGCACAGAGCTGCAGCACAGATGCATCAGGCCAGCTCTGAGCTCGACCCACTTCCCTTGGCTTCCATGATGAGATGAAGCCTGGTTGTTGCCTCAGATCCCCAAGATCCTCCAAGGCCTTTCAAACTCATGAGCCAGAGACTCCTCTCAGACTTCTCACAGCAAGTGACCAAGGTCTGCCTGCCTCTTCAAGACCCCAGAGGATGCTTTCAAGTTCTTACTAGTATGGTGTATGTGGTCGTTTGAATGTAATTGGCCCCCATAATCTCATAGCGAGTGGCACTATCAGAAGGTGTGGCTTGGTTGGAGAGGGTATGGCCTTGTAGAGGAAATGTGTCACTGTGGATGTGGGCTTTGAGGTTTCCTATGCTCAGGATATAGCCCAGTGAGTCAGTTGACTTCCTGTTGCCTCCAAGACATAGGACTCTCAGCTATTCCAGCACTACGTCTGCCTGCATGCTGCCGTGCTCCCTGCCATGATGATAATGGACTGAACCTCAGAAACCATAAGTGAGCCACCCCAATTAAATGTTTTCCTTCTGAGAGTTGCTGTGGTCATGATGTCTCTTCACAGTAATAAAATCCCTAAGACAGTGTGGTTAACAAGGAAGCAAGGAAGGCCATACCTCACAGCCGTCCTTTATCATCCAGTCAATCACAGGGCAGTGGCCTCCATCTGCAGCCCAGTGCAGAGCCGTGCAGCCTCCGAGGTCTCTAGCATCCCAAGAAGCTCCATGTCTTCGGAGGTATTTCACAACATCTAAGTGCCCTGCATAGCAAGCCAGCATGAGACTGCAACACACAGAAAAAGCAGAGTCTGCTGTCAGTGCCACCGCGGACCTCGGGGCCCCATTTTGTCCACCCGGATTAAATCAAAAAGTCATCAACTGAGTTTAAAAAAACAAAAACAAAAAACTGTTTTATCCACACAAAACATATAGATGTCCTGATAGAGAAAATGTAGTAAATTTGTACAGTGGAATGTCGGGCCGGCCACAAAAGGGAAGTCAAGTCTACAGTAGGAAAAATCCTAAAACAGTATGAACAATAAAAGGCACCAGGCCTCAGAAGTCATAGCATATGATCCATTTTCGTGAAACATCCTGGAGAACCTAATGAGGAAGACAGAAGTAGGCTGGTAGCTGCCTGGGCTAAGAAGGGGAAATACACTTGTGTCTCTAGAGTCATGAAACTGGCCCATGGTGGTGATGATGGGTGAACAGTCCTGTGAATGAACTTTAAAGCACTGCATTCTAAGGTATTTGGATTATGTCTTAATTTAAAAAAAAAAAAAGTACTGGAGTAAGATGGCCCAGCGCGTAAAGCATAATGACCAGAGTTCAATCCCAGAGGCACATGAGCACTAATACATACATACATTCACAAAATGTAAAAGTGTTTTGAAAATGAATATTGTCTGTGATTGAGTATAAACTATTGGATTTCAAAACATCCATAAAACCCAGATTATATGCAAAACAGAGTAGTGAAGGACCATGGGCCATGCTGTCACTAATCATTATTAAACCAATTCCTTACTCTAAAACAGGTAGTTCGCTCATTTACAGCCGTTCTCCTTTAGAGAACAAAACTGATTCATTCCAGCTGCTGGGGGGGGGGGGGGTTCTTCCTTGTAAGAGACTGCCAACTAATATGGAATTGTGAAATTCTTTTGTGTACCTCTTAATTGGATAACTGTATGGGCAGAGAGCACTCCCAGATGCTGGGCAGCTTTAAGATGTTAGTGGGGATAGATGTAGTCACATCACACAAATTTATTACCCTATAGGTTATTTTCTAGTTGCCATGGGATCTAGCTATCACCACTACCACCAGAATCACCTGGAATCACCACCTGTAGGGCATCCCATAGCTGTAACAGAAACAACACAAGCTCTCAAGGTTCCTGCTGAAGAGGGCACCCTGTGTTCGGCCAAACCTTTATAATCGTAACATGAAAATACCTTTGCTGGAAATATAGGGTTAGGTGAGCAAGCTAAGATGCTACCCTTCAACTGGGAGTGACAGAGACAAGCCCAGAACACAGCATGCAGTGAGGTAGTCAGCCTCAGATGTCAGCTGTGAGGAGAGAAACAGAGAATGAAGGGGAGACGGTAGAGAGGGGGATAGAATAGAGGGAGAGAGAATGGAGAGAGGAGAGAAAATGAGAAAGGGCATCAAGAATGGAGGGAGGGAGAGGATGGAGGGAAGGGAGTTGATAGAGAACAGATCTTCAATAAAGAAAATGCAGCCACAGAGGCAGAACCAGCAGGCCCAATGTGGAAACACAGGCTGGATCATGATCTTGCCCCAGTATCCACCACAAATAGTGACATCTGAAGGACAAGTGACACCAGGCAATTGGTGAGAAGTACCCCAAGTGTGATGTGATGGCAGGTGTGCAGTAATGACCTTGCATCCAGGAGCACACAACTGAGGGTGACTGTGAGGCACATGGGTGGGAGGGGGGTTTCTACAAATATGGACCAATGTCAACGCCTGCCAAGCTGCTGTGAAACCATCTTTGTACACTGTAAATATGTAATACTCTCATTGGTTAGGAAAGAGCTGACTGGCCAGTAGCTGGTCAGGAAGAGACTGGGTAGGAGAGCCAGACTAGGAGGATGCTGGGAAGAGGAAGGGTGGAGTCAGCGGAGATGCCATGAGACGCAAAGCGAGCAGGATGAGAAGTACCTACATGAGGTAAACAAGCCTCAGGGCAGCACATAGATTAATAGAAATGGGTTAAGTTCAGTTATAAGAGCTAGCTAAAAATGAGCCTAAATTATTGACTGAGCATTTATAATTAATATTGTCTCTTTGTGGTTATTTGGGGAGCGGCTGGTGGGACAAAGCAGATAGGCAGACTAGACAGAAAAGTCTGCCTACATCAAGCCTTTGTAGAGCATGGGCAAGTGTTTTCTGTGTTAGTCTTCCATCTTTTCTAAATGTTTGAAAATGGTCTAAATAAATAGTTGGAAAATAAAATGGAGGATCATTTCAGTAGGGAAAGGTAGTCCCTAAATGACCACACAAGGACACTGGGAATACTCAAATCCTTGATCATCCTAAGATGCTGCCCTGACCGTAAAATCTTAATTGCACTTATGGCCATTTTCTGGGAGTAGAAGTCCTAGAATGGAATCCATGTGTGAGTGGCCATGGCCTTTCTGAGCTTTGTATTGGCATATATTCACTGTCCTCTCCTTCACCTCCCACCTTCTGCCAGCCCCCTCCTCTCCGGTCTTCTTCCTACTCTTACATCGTGTGTGTGTGTGTGTGTGTGTGTGTGTGTGTGTGTGTGTGTGTGTGTGTGTGTGTGTGTGTATGCACGTGCATGTGTGAATCATTTGTGTGTGTGTGTGTATATATATATTTTATATATATATATATATATATATATATATATATATGGATCTCAGACTATGTGTTTGTCTGTGAATCATTTGTATATACATGGATCTCAGATTGTGTGTCTAAATCATTTGTGTGTATGTGGATCTCAGATTGTGTGTTTTCTCACATAAAATGGGAAGAAATAGATGCTCAAATTTTCACCTACATACAGCACACAGCAAACATTCTACCACTGAGCTAGACCCCAGCACTCAGGGTTTAGCCCACATATATTCCCAAATTGCGTGCATCATGACATGCTTCTAGCAACTCCCTCTGAAAATGTCCACTTTACTTCACCTTTACCATTATTAATTACCAAATACACAGGAGGCACTTTATGCAGTGAGACTAACTGCAGTTCATGTGAATTACTTAACGCTGTGCGCAAACCTCGCACACTGTCTCTGTGTGTGACTCGCTCTTCATCTTACCGGGCAGAGTGAGTCATTCCTGGCTGTGGACATGCGTTCACATGGTCTGTCCCCTGCACATTCCTCAGTGTTTGCTCAGACAGCCCTCAACTCTATGCCTTCTCCTTGGTTAGTTCCTCCCCACTTTTGTGCCTTGCACATTACAAAGTCAGACGACTGCATTCCTACTTCCTAGTGGTGTTTTATGACTTTTTACATGTAATTTTCTATTCATTTGACATGTGCTTTGGTGCTCGCTGGAAGGTCAAGGTCTTACTTCTTTTTTTCAAATAGCCTATTTCTAGTACCTTCTCTGTAGCACCTCTACCACCATATATCAAGTCCTGCCTATCCTGTTTGTCTTCTAATCTTTTACATGGTGCTCACCTCACTAACTAGTTTAACTCTTAAGGCATTTTAATAACTGTCTCCATAGTCTCTGACAAAGCTGTAGTGTCTATTACCATCTATTTGTTCTCTCAGATAAGTTACAATCATTTTGACGGGTTCCCAAGAATAATTCCATTTGAGGCTATATTCAATCTATATGCTAATTGGAGGAAAATGGAAAACGGTGCCATAGTCTTGCCATTCTGAAGTGTGGCCTAGCTCTCAATTTTTAAATCTTTGGATCTCTCAGATCTCTGTAGCTGATATTTTCATCAGGCTTCTTGCGCCTTTGGGGGTTTAGTCTGCTCTACTGTGTTTAGCTATAAACAAGTTAGTACCTTCTTTTTAAACAGAGCCTCATTTCATAGCTCTGGATGTCCTGGAACTCACAGAGATCCTCCTGCCTCTGTCCCCTGAGTGCTGAGATTAAAGGCATGTGCCACCACACTTAGCATTCAGGGTTGTTTTTGGTTTTGTTTTTTTTAATTATCTTATAACTGCCACGCCAGGAAACCTCCTTACTAAGTTTCAAGTCTTCGACAGTTGTCTCTTGAATTCTGCAGGCCAGGAGGAAGCACACCTCTCACCCCTGTATCTTCCAAAATACTGTCCAGTCATGAATAGAATAGAAGGTGCATTCACCAAGAGCCAGACCCTGTCTCACACATGCCCTGTATTAACCCGTTCATTGCCTGCAATAACCCCGCGGTTTACATAAGGACGGCTGCTGAGGCTGCTGTCCAGGGTGACAGACTGTGTACTGTGTCCTTAAAAGACTGGGGTTTGACACCACACTGTCTGCTGCCTGTGCTCTTCAACACACCCCCAACCCAACTCTCTGGGACTCAGGAGGATTTACTAGGGCTAACAAATGACACTGGAGAACTGAAATGTTTTTTTAAAAAAATTTAAAAGTAAATAAATAAACCATTTTGTATAGAGATAGGCAGGACTGTACACACCTGTCATCCCAGCTCCTCCAGAGGCTGAGGCAGGAGGAATGTGAGTTCCAGACCAGCGTGGGCAACACAGTGAGACTGTGGTGGTTTGAAAGAAAATGGCTCCCAAAGGGAGTGGCACTATTAAGAGGTGTTGCCTTGTTGGAGGAAGTATGTCACTGTGGGGTAGGCTTTGAGGTCTCTTTTGCTCAAGCTTCCCTCAGTGTGACAGTCAGTCGACTTTCTGTTGCCTGAGTCAAAATGTAGGACTCTCAGCTCCAGCACCACATCTGCCTGCATGCTACCATGCTCTCCATCATGATGATAAAGAACAGAACCTCTGAAACTGTAAGCAAGCCACCCCAATTAAATGTTTTCTTTATGAGAGTTAACGTGGTCATGGTGTCTCTTCACAGCAATAAAAACCTAAACTAAGAGACCAACTCACCCGCCATCTCAAAAAATAACAAATCATAGACGTTGACACTCCCTGCTATTTCTGTGTCAGGCGCTGTCCAAAGGCTGAGGGTCTGTTTGGGGTGCATATATGCACAGGATTTCTACACTAGCACTCTCTGCCTTACCCCCTTGGCGCGGGTCTTTCACTGACCCTGGAGCTGGGCCAGCAGCGGATAATCCCCAGTCATCTTCCTGCCTCCACAGGCCCCAGCCACAGTGCTGGGATTATGGATGCACACCCTCATGCTGGCATTTTATATAGGTGCTGGGAATTAAGGACTTTGTTCACTGAGCCATCTATCTGGCCATAAAATATTTTTTTTAAATGATAGATTGTCTTGGTTAGGGTGTCTATCGCTGTGACAAAACACCGTGACCAAAAAGCGAGTAGGGGAGGAAAGGGTTTATTTGGCTTACACTTCCACAACCTAGTCCATCATTGGAGGAACTTAGAACAGGAACTCAAACTGAGCAGGGACCAGGAGGCAGGAGCTGATGCAGAGGCCATGGAGGGGTGCTACTTACTGGCTTGCTCCATATGGCCTACTCAGCCTGCTTTCTTATAGAACCCAGGACCATCAGCCCAGGGATGACACCACCTACCCACAAAGGGCTGGGCCCTCCCACATCAACTACTAATTTTAAAAATGTCCTTTAGGCCTGCCTTTATCCCTATCTTATGGAGGCATTTTCTTAATTGAGGTTCCCTCTTTTCAGATGACTTTAGCCTGTCCAATTGACATAAAGCAAATTTATCCAGCACATGTATATTCATTGTACATAGTGTTGGGTTTCATAAGGACAATTTCTCTCAAGTAGACCACATACTCCACATGCATACCCTCCACTCTCCTCACTCTCCTTTGGGCTAGTTTCCCATCTGACCCTGCCCTGTCCTGCTTCTGCTTTTGTATAATTTATACATAAATGACTGTATGTATCTATAGAAACCCTAGAGTCCACAAATAGGAGAAAACATGCAACATTTATCAGAATCTGGCTTATTTCATTTAATCTGATCATGCCTGGATGCATCCATTTCCCAGAAGGTGTCACTTCATTGTGCTTTATGGCTGAATAAAACTCCACTGTGAGTGTACACATTTCTCCCTATGTTCTTCTGCTGACAGACACCCAGCTGATTCTGACAAGGTCCCGAGCTGCACCCGAGTTCTCCCTTCACCTTGAATCTACTAAGGAAGAATCTTATGTTAGAAGCCTTCTAATAGGAATTTCCTTGCCTTCTTAAATATCTTTCTGATTGGGAGGAAGTGGATTACAAATATAAATACCTACAGACATGCAAAGGACTTGCTGCCATTTTTTTCCAGTAGTGGGGTTGAACCCAGGGATTTGTACATCTAGGCAAACCCTGAGCTGCATCCCAGCCCTTCTCATGTTATCGATAACGCTGATGTTCCCTGAAGCTTTCCAGCTTGTCTTTGCCATGGAAACTCCAAGCTCAGTACAGACATGCAAATCGGAAGCAAGAGCCTCTAAGGAGTGAGCACTGGAATACATTTTCTCATGGTCTACATGGATACTGTTCATTTTTGATTTTCCTCTTCTTGGATTGATTCTGGTGGCTTTGAGTTTCTCTAAAAAGTATACATTTCAACACAATTACCAAACCTATTATGGGACACAATGCATCATTTTCTTTTCATTTTCAAATGCCTTCTATAACCATTATTTCTCTTCCCAGTGTCCAATTTTATTTCTCTTTTCTTTGATGTATAAGACATTGGTTTATCATGAAGATTTTTGTTAAGAAGTGTCCCATACATTTTTGCAACATGAAAATATTCTCACTAATCCCTTTCTCTCTTTCAATTCTTGCCTGTTTTCTACCTTCCTTAAAATGTTTCCTTTGTAAACTGGTATTATTCTTTTCAAAATCTTCAGTCAATTGATGGCTTAGTTCTAGATCGGTTTAAGAGTCACTTGGAAGATAATTTTAAAAATGGTGTCCAAATGTTATCTGTCACCGCATTGGAATGGGCTAGATGGGCTTTCTGGCTTCAGTAAGCCACGTTTGGGGTTGTGGAGATCACTGGGTGGGTAAAGTGCTTGCACTAAGGTAAAAAGCCAGTTATGACAGCATGCACCTGTACCTCGTCACTGGTGGTGGAAGTAGAAACAGGAGGCTCCCTGGAACTTGCCTGTCCAGCTGAATCAGCAAGCTAGCAGCCAATGAGCAACGCCGCCTCAAAAAGCAAGGTGGATGTCTCCCAATTTTAACACCTTAACTCAGGCCTCCACATACTTTTACATCCACACTCAAACAAATGTGCACTCACACACATGTGCACTGACAAATGCCCATGTGCATGCACGCACACACACACAAAAAAAAAACAAAATATGGCACAAAAAATGCATGCATGCAGTGCCCAAGTCTTAAGCCTGTGTATACCATGTATCCTGTGAGCATCCTGAGGAAAGGTGTTGTGTTTGTCTCCCTGTTTGACCCATGCATGGCACCTGGCATGTAATCATCATCAAATAAATGCTGGATGTGCTGAAATAGTTATATCTAGCTGCTAAACAGTTCATATTTAAGTATTTCAAAATGTTCCTTCAACTGTCCATGAATACCAAGCACTCTCTGTGAAAACTGAGGTTCTTAACCTGTGGGTTGTGATCCCTTTTAAAGGGCCAAATATCAGACATCTTGCATATCAGATATTTACATTGTGATTTATAGCAGTACCAAAATTTCAGTTTACGAAGTAGCAATGAAATCATTGTATGACTGGAGGTCACCACAAAGTGAGGAACTGTATTAAAGTCGCAGCGTTGGGAAGGTTGAGAACCTGTGCTGTAACCCCAACTGGCGTGATGGAAACCACAGCAATGTTTTGCAGTAGTATCTCTGATCCTGACTTTGACTGCTTCTTTATAGACACCTGGCTTCTTGGGCCGTAGAGGAAGGCAGGAATGTAAGAAAGGAACCATGCGCCAGAGCTGGTGGTACTATTTTTGGAGCTATGGGTTACTGAGCTGGAGAAGGTTGGACAGGTTGTATCTGATGAGTGAAACCACAGAAAAACAAGCCAGCCTTTGTCCCTCCATCTCCCCAGAAGGGCCCACTCACCTCTCAGAACTTTCACAATAAACTGGACAAAGTGTACAAGGCAAAAAACACTGAGTACAGTCTAATAACACAGTGCAAGCGTGCCAGCTCTCAGCGTCACCCCACCTCCTACCTGTCCTTGCCACTTCCGTTCTTCAGATTCACATCCGTGCCATTGGAAACTAGGATCTTCACAAGCCTGAAGGAACAAAGCTGAAATTAGTGAGACAAATGGCTTTGGCCACTTGGAGCCCATGGTAACCCAACGAAACTCAGTAATCTGACATTCAGGGCATCCTTACCACACCTCCCTCCACCCATTCTGAAGACAGGCACTGTTAAACTGGAAGCCCACTGATCCCCACTGAAAACAGGGTCCCAACCCTCCATGAACCATTCACACACCCAACCCTGCCCACATGGCACAAATAGTTCATGTCATTTTAATGGCCATTTTTAATAGAGGATCACTTAATGAGAACACATTTCTATTGTCGCTCAAAATGGCATTGTTGCAATTAAAAGACAAATATGATTGAAAGATAAGATGTTAGCACTTACAGCCATCCCTGTGGGATAGATAATGGCAACCTCCAGGGGAAGCCTGTTCCCAAAGTGCCCTCACTCACCTCCGTTTAAAGAAACTCAAATTCCAATCTTGACTGTTCGCAAGACATGTACAATATTCGGTGAGAGACTAAATACAAACTTGTCTGTGTGCTGCCTAACCCAGCACAAGCACCTGACTGGAAGCCATTCCAGGGGACAGCTTGGGAAAGGGCAAGAAAAGAGGCTGCCATTCCATGCTGGCTACACCTGCAGGCACAGGGAGACACCCTACCTGGTATAGCCTTTCTGAGCAGCAACCATGAGGGCAGTAAAGCCAAACTTGTTAGGCACGTCCACCTTTACATGGCTTAAGGAAAGCAGAGAAGAGGTCGTCATTCACAGCAGAGATCCCACAAGTTAACAGCACTTTGCAGGGCCCATGGGGGAGGGGGGCGCTGAAATGGTTCATTTACCAAAACTGACAGTTTCTCTTGGGCCATGAAATTTTTGTTGTCTTAAAACGCCCTAATAGTTTTAAAGGTTCAAGTTTTCATGAAAAGCATTGTCATTTTACTGGGAATAGAAGCTTCCTTCAACTCAAAATCATTGTGCCTTCTCATTGAATAGTCTGTGACCAGCAAAGCCTCTTGGCATGAGCTGGGAACAGCATGGCACCAACGCGCAGCTCCACCAAAAGAGCAGGTACGGCCAGAGCTCCTACTCTCCTACTGGCTCAGAGAAGAACACACATCCTGTGTTGTCAGCCAAGGAGCCTGGCATTCTGTGGAAGCTTCTCATCAACTTACCAAACCCCAGCTCAGAAACCACTGCCTTCTGTGGTACACAAAACCACACTACAGATGAATCTAAAGTACATCTACATGGGAGGTGGTCTCAAGCATCCCTCCTGCAGCAACCGTGTCCTCCCCGCCCCCTTTATTCTCTAGCATCCTACCAACCTTCTAGTCGCCAAGACAGCTGGTTTGCTGATTCCTGGCATCACCTGGTATTACATGCGGTCATTTCAGACTGTCCTGTACTAAATGTTGGGCTGGATAATCAAAGGATAATAATTGCTTCTGGAGCCAAAGCATGATGCCCAGACCTGTAATTTTCTTTTACAGTTTTCATTAAAAAATCACAAACCATACCATTTACAGGGGTCTCCATGACTCTTTATTAACTAGACTTCCCTAACTCATACCAGTCACCTGAGGTAAACGTAGGAGGTGCTTTTGAAGGCACTAGAGAATTTGTCTAGGAAAACAAGATAAAGCTGTGCCATGTAGGCCTGGGCACTGGAAGGAAGAACAGAAAAGCTGGCCGCACTCACTCACCCTCCTTCCAGTATTCGAAGCAGGAGATCTTCATCATTCACATTGACAGCACGGTGGAAGTGCTCGCTACTTATGGGCTCCCCTAGAGAAAGCAGATGGAGAGCAGTCATCCACAAGGCAGGGGTGGGAGGTTCGATCTCACTCTTTCTCCTGTGGCCTTGGGTGGATGTTCATCTTCACTTCCAAGGAGGCATGGAGTTGTCCCTGTCCACCGGCTCACATTTCCTACTCAACTGCTTCTTTTACTGGGAAAGACCTGTTTTTCACATGTTAGGAGAAACTTCACACACTGATCCAAAGAACTGGGACATTTTCAAGCTGTGAGGTACTTCTTCATGAATGCCACCATCAGAATAATCCTTCCTAATGTCTCTTGTGACTAAGGAAACCCCAGCAAGTGTCACAACATGTTGCTTTCTTTTACCAACGTGGCTAAAACATTTCAACAACAAAGACAATTGCTTTAGCTCCCTGTGTTTGGAGAGCAAACGGGGCTCATCCCCACATGGAGGTGGGGAACGTGTGAGAAACTCCTTAAAGGGAGATGGCAGTCTGCCAAGGGGGAAATGGTGAGGACAACAAGCCTAAGAAGACAATGAGATGAGTGGGAAATTGAGAGGGACAATGGACAGGGACATGGATGTCAACTCTGACGGGGCGAGGGGAGGCAGATCCACAGGCTCAGCCTCAATGCAGCTGGCCACAGGAAGATATTCTCTTCAACTACTTGTCTATGGTTTCACCTTTTCCACATTCCACACCTTTCAAATCAGCATGGCTGAGCTCAAAGGTAAATAAGTGATGCGTGGCAGATGCCCACACACCTACTGCCGTCTAGTACGGCACTCCCTCACCCTCTCACATCCCACCATGTCCAGCACCCCTCCCACACTTGCGATGCCTGCCTGGCTTCAGTTTGCAGCTCCTGATCTAAGTTATACCACTAGATGGTCAATCAATAGCACCACAGGGGTCTCTGAGAAAACGGGATAAATGGGGTTCCCCACACACACACTTTTCTGATTAACATTACCACCTATTTCAAACTGTTACAATTCTAAGTTCTAAAGAAAAGCAGCTGGTCCTTCCCCATCACACAGCTCTGAACCCAGACTCCCTCCTGAGGTGCCCCTAACCCTGTCACTCCCCCTCACAGCCCACCTGCAGAACCAGCTGGCAATCCTTTTCCTGTGGAAATCTCTCTGGGACATCAGCTCCCAGGCAAGGGAGTCCTCAGTAGGTGACCGACATTCAAAGTGACCAAGTGATATGGTGCAGGAGGTGGGAGGGAGGATGGGGGGGTAAAACTTGGAGCAGGTGGGTCAGATTGGCCACAGCTGATTCCTTCTCTCTTTTTAGGTTGAAATCAATTGATATCAACTTAAATTACTTTGAAAGCACTATCTTCTAAAGTTTACCAAGCTCTGAAAGATTTCTTCAGTCATGTTATACATCTTTTTCATCATTTCACACATCTTTAGACCAAAGGCTTCATTCAAATCAAGGTATTGTGCTGGGTTTTCAAAGCTAAGGCCCTGGCCAGCCTTGTTCTTCTAAGGAAGGTCTCACTCAACCCAGGAATTTCACTAGAGGGACGTTATACTCCCAAGGGCATTTGACACATGTCTAAAGACCTCTGTTGTCACAACTTGGGAGATGCTGCTGGCATTTAGCAGAGAAGGGTCCAGGATGCTGCTTAGCATCCCGTAACCATAGGACAGCTTGCCACCACTCAGGGCCTAACCAGATCCAGAATGTCAACAGTGTCGTGTTTGAGGACCCCAGCTACATTGAAGTGGACTTATCCATAGACCATTGTGTGACCACTACACTTCAGGGGGCAAACTAACCAGTAGACTGTCCTCCCTCCCCTCCTTCCTTCCTTCCTACATAAAGGGACAGACAGTATGCCTATAAGAAGCCTATTGTCTACAAAAGAGCACATTTTTTGTGTCTCTCAGGATCCAGATGCCACAAGAACATGTTACAGAGTCATGCACAGGAGTTTTGGAAGTTTATCTGGTCTCTACTGAATTTTCCAACGTGGTGAGTTTTCTAAATCTACACTTACTAATAAGGATTCTACATTCTTCCAAAATTCTCCTCCAAGCTGCAAAATCAGGGCTGAGCAACACTAAGCTGTCCAAGGTCATGAGTTAGGAGTAGGTGGCACTAGAGCTCGCCAAGTCTCACCTGGGACCATGATTTAACAGGCATTGAGGCATCTGACCGATACGTAGTTATGTTTCTATTCTATGTTTTAAAATGCAGAATCTAAAATAAATCTAATTCCCTCTGCCCTCCCCAACAAATAAAAGTGGATGCCTAAAAGCTTCAGGGAGTGTGGACTTGTGATATTCATAGCAAGGTCTGAAAGCACCTGTAGCAGCCCCCCATTTCTGCACTGGCTACCTGCGCTGCCCCTCACTGCACCCCCACCTCACTGCACCCCCACCTCACTGCACCCCCACCTCACTGCGGCCCCACCTCACTGCGGCCCCACCTCACTGCGGCCCTACCTCACTGCGGCCCCACCTCACTGCACCCCCACCTCACTGCGGCCCCACCTCACTGCGGCCCCACCTCACTGCGGCCCCACCTCACTGCGGCCCCACCTCACTGCGCCCCCTCCTCACTGTGCCCCCCTCACTGTGCCCCCCTCACTGTGCCCCCCTCACTGCACCGCCCCCCTCACTGTACCCCCACCTCACTGCATCATTGTGTTCTGCTTCACTGTGTCCCCCCTCACTGCACTCCCTCCTCACTGCACAGTAAGGTCTCTTGATGGAGGCACTTCCCGCCACAGCCAGGAAGTGCTGGTGTACAATAATATTCAAAAACAAAGCAAGCTCATTTCATGCTTATGAGCTTGAGGGCTGTGTGGAGCAAAGATGTCTAGGTGTAACGACACAGCTAAAATAAATGAGCTATCTATTCCCACTTCTGCTAGGGATCCTTGGTGCTTTACGTGGGATTCTGGGGACACAGGGACTCCCTCACAGAGACAGAGGAAAGCAGCATCCTTGCTATTACACCTTACTTGCTGAGTCTTGGAAAAAACAAAAACAAAACAAAAAACCCACTGGTCAGTTATGAGAGTCTTTCTCAGTGACAGCTCAGTCAGTACTTCCCAGCTACCAAGGTGCTGAACCAGGAAGACAGAGACGAGCTGAGAATCCCACTGGAACCATGTGGGTCAGCCCAGGAAAACCTATTCACATGGGCTGGTGGCATGCCTAGGAGGATAAAGACGCTTGCTACACAAGCCTGGGAATCTGCATGCCATGCCAGATCCCACGAGGAGGTGGACAGAGAGAATCAGCTTCATAAAGTTGTCCTTTGACATACACACATGATATTAAAAAATGTTTTACAAAGAAACCCTGTGAGTGAGAATTTCACAAGACAGTGAAAAGGCCTTGTCTGCCGCTTTGCTTCCACTGTAGGCAGGAGTCACAGAGAACAGAGAGGAAATTCCAGGGTGAGCAACATGTTCCACCCTTCCAACCAGGAGTTCGTCAAGACTCTGCAGGCCTGGCCCAGGAGAATGGCCTCAATATGTGCAATTGAATATAAACAGGTTGGCCTTGGCGGGTCTGACCACACAGTGCTTACACTGAGTGTCTTGACTGCAGGCATCATGTCAAGGATGCTCTGGGATATCCATCTGGGCTGGATGCAGTACCTTCAGTGTACCCCAGGAGGGGATGGGCAGGATGGACTTTAAGAAACCATCTCACTCTAGATGAGGGTCACCTAGCTGCCGAAGTGCCTACAAGTATAACATGGTGATGACACCTTCCTTGGTAGAACTTAGGTCTTTATTAAAAGCAGTGAATAAATCATGAACTCATTGGAGAAGATATTTGCCAATTAACAAGTAGCAGCTGTTTTTCTTTCCTTTTAAGGGTCTGGCTGATTAAAATTGCATGCTTCATTTAAGCAAGAGCCTCATGTACTTTACCTGGGAAGAAAAAAAAAAAAGGCTGAGCATCCTTTATTCAAACAAAGTGCAGGCTTTTGTGATTCATTAAAATGCTCTCAAACTGAATGCAAATTATAAGCCACAGAAGCATTTTTGCTTGCTCTGTATAATATGAGCATTCTCGATTCTCTGTTTAGCATCTTCTGCCTCCTAAAGACAGCCCACACTGAATAGTAGAAGAGAATAAGGGAGCAGCCATCAATCAGCTGAACCAGAGGCCTGCCTCTGCCAAGTACCCTAGTCCCTTCATTGAGCATAGCCCCATGAGGCTAGCAGAGAAACAGTCAAGCGCAGTGTTTGGGAGTGCTAATGTGTGAGCATGGGTGTGCATGCAGGCATGCACACGGTCACTACCAGCATACCCCTGTCCCTTGAGAGATCTTATCTAATTTCCTATAGAAGCCGTAGAACTCTCAGGACAAATTCCTAGGCCAGATATCTACAGCTGCCTCTCTGAAGACAGCTGGGCAAAAAGCAAACCTAGCCACAGGCACAGCCCTTATCAGCTGACCGGCATAGTCAAGCCAGTCTCCCTACCTTCTTAAAGAGGCTCTGTGTGAACTCTGGCTAAAAAGTCAGAAGCCCTCCCTGGCTTGGATGTGCTGTTCAGGGGACAGCAGGTCACTTGGAGCCCACCATAGATAGTTGCAGAACCAGCTGTGTGCACCTCTCCAGCTACCTTCAAGTGAGGTGACTCATCCAGTTGGTGAGAAATGGATCTGTCCCCAAGACATGACAATGGGCAAAAAAAAAAAAAAAGAAAAGAAAAATAACCAGCCAGTGTGCCTCTTTGTGTTCCTACTTCCTCCACCAAATCTTACTTAATCATCCACCCACTGAGCCAGTCCCGAATGTGAGAGATGGCTAACCCATCCCCCTCCCTCCATCCCAGAGCCTGCACTGTAAGTGGGAGTAAAAGGCAGGTAAATATGTAAAGCTGGATGGGAGAAGTGCTGAGCCTGCCTCCAAGTGGGGAAGAGCTCAAGTGTGTGCAGGGAGGAAGCCTGCACAAGAAACCAGCCCTGCACCAACCGTGCCATGGAGCATGTGCAGTGGGCAGAGCAGGGGACTAGGTACTCCAGGGAGCAGAGAGCAAAGAGGTGACTGTGGGAGGCTGGAACCACAGGGGAAGTCAGGAGGAAGTGCAGAGGCCACCTGGGGGAGCATGCTGCCTGTGTCCCCAGGAGAGTTTTTTCAAAGGCAGGCTCTATGCCAGCAATTCCCCTGCCTGCTGCTCCCTGCCCTTGCCCTCCTGTGCTCCCAGTGTGCTCTCTCTCCCCCCTTCTCCCATCCCCCTTTCCCCCCTCTGTCTCTCTTTGTCTCTCTCCTCTGCCTTCTTTCCTTCCCCCTGGACTCCAGGGCTGAGAATTGCCTTCAGCATCACCAGATTAAGGTGCAGACCCTCTTGCCTGACCTGCACAATTGACGGCAGCATGCCTCCTACCCTGTTGCGTGGCTAACTACACCTCACTTAGGCCCACAGGTGAGGTCCCGCCTTTCTCAGCTTTAACTAACTCTGTTGGAAATCTGTTCATCCGGAGCCAGGCCCCTCTTGCCATTCTTGCACCCAAAGGCACAGTAGAGTAGCTAGCTCAAAATCTGAATCACCTTCAGTCACGAGGGCATAATGGCAAACCACAGGACATGTGCAGGCAAAGCAAAAGCCACAGTAGATAAAACTGAAATTTATGTTACCTGTGTAAAGATTTTCTTTGTGCAACCCTCCCCAAAACAAAATTTCACCTGCACTGTCAGTGACAAGGTGTGAATATATATAAAATATCCCACCCTCAAACACGACACCAGATACACATACCTTTAAGTGTTTAAAATTATATCAGTCTCAGGAAATGACATAAAACCAGGACAAGGCCAGGGTGGTCAGAGGGAGTAGGGCTAGACCCCTGTCCACCTCTGTGGAGCAGTACCTCCCTGTGGCTGGGGAAGCATTGATCGGGATTTTCTTCAGTCTCAGAACCCAGGGAACCAGAAGTCTGTGACCAAACAGGATGCACACATGCCCGGAAGCATCTACAGTAGACACGTGTGGAGGAAGCAATGCTCAGCCCATCCCTGCTGACCCACTTCCTGAGAAAGGTGACTTCTACCCTGTGCCAAATGCCCATGAACAGGACAATCCTGGCACCAAACCAGCTCTCCCAATTCTGGAAAGCATAGCTGGCCTTCCTCATGGAATGCTGTAGAGAGGCCTGGGCAGCAAAGTTATCACAGGGCTTACAAATGGAGTCCTCTCTGCTTCCAGTGGAGCCCAGGTGAACACAGTCTATTTTTATCTCTACATTGCTTGTGGTTTTCATATTTCTAAAAAGCGAGCATTGAGCATGAGTGTACTCACTGGTCGTAGCCACCGAGACGACTGGGCTGTACTCATATTCTCCAGAGGGGCTGGTGACCTTCAGTCGAAATCTGTACAGTGTCCTTGGTTCTAGACCTTCAACCACATGCTTTGTCGCATAACCCCTGGACGGAAGACAAACATGGACGCCTCTGACACCTCAGCCTTGCCCTTGTTTGATGTCATTTCCAAAGACTGATATTTTAAAACATTTAAAGATAAGTGTATCTGATGTTGTATTTGAGGGTGAAATGTTATATAGTCACACCCTTTCACTGATAATGCAGGATAGATTTTGTCTGGGGAGAGGGTTGCACAAAGAAAACCTTTTCACATGTAAAGTTAGTTTTCAGTTGTATAGAGTAGCTTTTGCCTTGCCCATATACTAGGTCACCTAAGCAGCATTTTCCAACAGCAGGTAACAATGGGTAGAAGCAACTTTTGAGTACTGTCGATTTCCAGTATAGATCTGATCCTACTTTATTGAATTCCTTGAGAAAAGTGGACATGTCACAGGTGGTGCCCTCTGTACCTTTGTGGCATGTACCCTCTTAGTCCCACAGGGCCTAGCCAGGTGTTGCGTAGCAATTTCCCTCCCAATTGAAACATTCCATCCAGAAAGGAATGGGGAAAGCTCATGAGACTCTGGAAGCAAACAACTCACAAATCGTAGCAAGTTCCTGAAACTAGTAAGATTCAGAAGGCCAGGGGAGGGATTTCTCCCTCCAGCCTGGATATAAAAGAGAAGGAACTCTCCCACCACCTGAGCTGCCTGAGTGGAGACTCTCTGATCTGTAGAGCTGCCTGAAAGTTTTTCAGAGCTTCAGGATCGCAGCTTTCTGTCAGTCAGCACCTTTGGCACAGCTGTCTTTGAGTCCTCTGTGCTCCTGTAACTAACCCCTCACTCATCCTCCCAGAAAAAAAAATCCCCTTGGTTCACCAAGTTGAACTTTGATAAAATTGTTCCCTTACTGTGTCAGTGATTTGCTATCTATAGTAAATACACATTTGTTTATATTCCTCCCCACCCCTACAAAAAATGCTTCACATAACAGTGCTTGGGGCACGGCTGGCATGCACATGTGTTCTTCATAGAAATAATCATGCTATGGATCGCCCTGGAAAGGGAAAATAGATGAGATCTCCATGAGTAAACTGGGGATGAGGGGTAGGCAATGGAGGGTGGAGGGTAGGAGATGAGAACACAAGGGAATGGGATGGTCGAGCTGGAACAGAAATGGAGTGGGAAAGCAATGAAAGAGATACCATGATAGAGGGAAATATCATGGGTATAGAGAGAAACCCAGTCCTAGGGAAATTGCCAAGAATCCCCAAGGATGATCCCACCTTGGACTACTAGAAATAGTGGAGAAGTGCCTGAACTATACTGGCTTACCCCAGGGATCAGATTGGTGAATACCCTAACTGTCATCACAGAGCCTTTCTCCAATGACTGATGGAAACAGATGCAGAGATCCACAGCTAAACACTAGGCAGAGCTCCAGAAGTCCAGTCAAAGAGAGAGAAGAGGAATTCTATGAGCAAGTGCATCAGGATCATAATGGGGAAACCTGCAGAGACGACCAAACCAAACTAGTGGGAACTCATGAAAGTTGGATCAATGGCTGTGGAGCCTGCATGGGACTGGACTAGGCCCTCTGCATGGCAAGACAATTGTGTAGCTTGATCTGCTTGGGGGTCCCCTGACGGTAGGATCAGGATCCATCCCTGGTGCATGAGCTGGCTTTTTGGAGCCCACCACCTATGATGGGACACTTCGTGCAGCCTTGAGGCTGGGGAAAGAACTTGGACTTGCCTCTACTGGATGTGCCTCCCCATGGGAGGCCTTGCCTTCTTATTGGGGGGAGTGTTGGGTGGGTTGGGAAGGGGAGGCTCAGGGGTGGGAGGAGGGAAGAAGGGGATCTTTGGTGTATAAAATGAATGAAAAAAATTTCTCAATAAAAAAAGAATCATACTAGCCCATAAAATTCATATTCAGATGACAAAGTTTCACATTTGAAAGATGACTGCATTCATGTAGAGTCTTCCAACAGGTAGATGGGGCTAAAGAATTGATAGCTACTGCATCTACTGCAAGCAAAATACTGTAGGGAACCAGTCTAAAGATGTCAAGTCAATGATGGCTTGCTGCTCAGAAACAAAAATCACACTCTAGCAAGGAAGTCAGGCGACACAGTACTAACCAACTACGACATCTTGCATCATGGGTAAGTTCACCTAGGAATGCTGGTGGGCAGCAGGAGGTAAAGGTTTCTACAGTAGACATCGGACTAGAGGCTTGCAGTGAAGACCCCATGGCTCCAGAGGGAAGATGTCTAAGTTCAGTAATCTGGAGCTTAGGAAACAGAGTGCAGTGGCTAGCCAGTAGGCCTGTCCTCTCAGGATGCTGGGACCAGTAGGTCCCTGCTCTCTGCTGAGAGGCAGGCTGAAGGGATGGCCCCACCTCAGTGCAGATTCCAAGATATCAACCCTTCAAAAGGGACAGGATTACATGTAGTTCCTGATCGGGCTGAATTCTCAGTTTCTTTCTACTCCCAGAATCCTTACTGGGTTTTGAGCAGATCCCAAGTATGCCTCTTTCAATTCTGTATCCCAGTTTTTCTTCCCTTGTGGTTCAAAGGCTTGACCTTTGGTAGGCACGTACTATCTCCAAGGCTTTTCTCCACTTCACTCTGCTCTTGTCCTCTTTCCTTCAATATACTTCCCCAGAGCTCTGTGCACAACACGCTCATCATTATTTCCTCTCATTTCTCTCTCATTCTCAGCAGAGCTTCCACAGAAGCCAAAGCCATACATTACTAGTCACAAACTAACTGTTCAAGGAAGTTTATGCTCAACCTAAATATTTACACACAAGTTCTGTTCCATACAACTCAAACTTATCCCATGCCCATTTCTTGTGAGGTGTTGGGTCAGGCAGCCCTGGATGGTCTCAAGACTGAGCTGAATCAGCCAGCATCCTCTGCAGACCCTAACTCCTAGAGTCAGCATTATGGCTGACAGAAGCTCACCTGAAAACATGGCTTCAGAGAAGAGGTGGTAACATGACAGGACACACCTGTCACTCACAAGGTCTCACGTGTTCATCCCCAGAGCCCACTGGAAAATCAGTCTCTTCACCAAGGTGTGGTATGAAAGGGGTAGCTACAAAATAGAGCCAACTCCTGGCCCTGGATGGAGCAGTAACCTCCACTCTTCTACCCCCTTCCCAGAGCCTGAAGCCTCTGGTTTCCTCCTAAACTCATTCCCTTGCATGAGGAATGATGGATGGAAGAAGAGAGAAGTTGCATGGTGTCCTGCAAGAAAGGTCTCTCTGAGTTCCACAACAGACAAGATGTGTCAGAATGAAATGTAGGGTCCAAAGGACACCAGCCCCAGGATGAAGGGCTTGCGTTCCTGGAGCAGCGTGAACCTAGGATGTGTCAGATTGAAGGCATGTGAGGAAAGATGTCTCAGCGAGGTCTAGCAACATCGCCCAACTCTAAGTTTACCAAGACTCTTTCCCCTTGGCTTGCATCCAAAATTTAGATTCCAGGAGAAGTCAGTAACTTGCACCACAAAGTTACTTCAGGTGACAAAATCCAACAAAGCCAAGAAAATCATCTGTGCATTATATCTATCTGACATCAGGCCCTATTCCCTGATCTTTGCTGGCAAATCAGCCCCGTTCTGGTGTCTTTTATTTGTGAAGCCACCTCTCCTCACTCAAAAGAGGGTGCATGATCAGGAAGGCAAAGCAGAAACACAGGCAAAGGTCTAATCCTGTGGCCTGGAATGGGAGGGAAGGTGGCGGGAGGAGAGCTGGGTAGTGCTGGGGTGGGGTGATGCGAAGCCTGTAGCTTCTGCGCTGGTGCCATTGGGAGCTGGTCGTGTGAAAGGTTCTAATTCCCTGCTGTAGAGGGACCACATGGTAAGGTGGAGCCCCTGGAGGGGGGTAGGCAGTGACAGAGAGAAAAATGTCTCGGCAGCATCTTGTATGTCAACCTCCAGCCAGCAGAAGCACTGCAGCTGTGCCTGCCAAAGTACATGGAGCAGAAGCCAGTGCCATTATAGGCCAGCCGGCCGGCAGGCAGACAGACAGACAGACAGACCAACCGACCCACGGTTGGTTATACAGCAATGTAAGATAATAAATGGTTCTGGTGGCATTATGAAAAACATTTGAGTAAGAAAGCAGACACATGTGAGAAATATAAACATACTTATCACAATGTGAACTCTCTGAACCAATAAATGCCCTGAAATACTACATGGGCTGAAAATTATAATTTAGAAAATAAAAACATATCAGACTGGGACAGACTATTCTTATGAGTAGGTGGACTACATTGCTAAGTGAACATCCTCACTACAGTTTGGGTAGGGTTGATTCTCTAAAGTACAGGGGTGGGCATGTGGGAGAGAGAGAGACGTACACACATGCACGGCTACACACATACAATCTCCCTGCTTGTCCACCTACACTCACACCTCACAGGTGGTAGGTCTAGGGCCCTGACAATTCTGTTTTTGTTTTCTTTTTTGTGACAGGGTTTCTCTGGGTAGCTGTGGCTATTCTGGAACTCACTCTGTAGATCAGACTGGCCTTGAACTCACAGAGATCCACCTGCCTCTACTTCCCTGAGTGCTAGATTAAAAGTGTGTGCTCCCGGGCAGTGGTGGTGCATGCCTTTAATCCCAGCACTCGGGAGGCAGAGGCAGGCGGATCTCCATGAGTTCGAGGCCAGCCTGGGCTACAGAGTGAGTTCCAGGAAAGGTGCAAAGCTACACAGAGAAACCCTGTCTCAAAAAACCAAAAAAAAAAAAAAAGTGTATGCCACCACTGCCCAGCCCCTGACAATTTTTAAGGTGTTCTGTTTTGGTTTTTTTTTTTTTAGATGAAGCCTTGCAGTTCTCTTGTGGCTGATCCCAGGCTCCTGAACTCAAGAGATCCTTGTGTCTCAGCATCTGAAGCCACTGGGACCACAGGCATGTGCTACTAGCAAATGGTTTAAATCTACCATTAAAAGCGTCTTATGTTCAACTAGTCCACATACTGTTCTGCTATCTCCCACCTCAATTATTGCATGAGCTTCCTAATTAGCTCTGTCTGTTGCCTACAGCC